AAAGGTAGTTTTTAGAGCTCAAACTGTCACAGTTGAAATAAACTCCACCCAGGGAAGGAATTTCAAACATACTGGAAGCACAGTCAGTGTTTCACTTGGAATACCCATGGTAGCAGTCACCCATTGGGCTGTATGGAAAAAAACCTCATTAAGATGATGTGGGAGTTATACAAAATGACATCTATTGTACAGTTTAGTGCTTAGAGTTAACAATATTGTATACCTAAAAGTTTACTAAGGGGATAGATTTTATAAGTATTCTTATTACAACAACAGCAACAACAATAACATTAATAAATAAATAAGAAGGCAAAAGGAAGAAACTTTGGGAAGTGATGGATAGGTTTATGGCATAATTTGTGATGAGGGTTTCATAAGTGTATACTTGTCTCTAAACTCATCAAGTTGTATATATGAAATATCTATAGCTTTTCATATGTCAATCATACCTTAATAAAGTGTTTTGTTTTTTTTTAAATAAAAGGTGTCATGCGTCAAGGAGGCTTTAAGCACAAACCTCTACTGTTTCAGAAAACCAAGATAGGTGAAGAATCATATGCCACGGGGGCAGTAACTTAGATGCCTTCTGGGCCAGGCAGGAAGTACAAATGATTGAAGCAGGCTACAGAAGCAGACCAACAGTTACTCTGCAGAAATGCAGACCCAAGATGGCTAGGTCTCTTGGTTTTTCAGGAAAAGCAGGAAACCCAGAACTTTATGGGAATTCTTCCAATTATAAATGTTGGCAACTAATGTAAAAATTTATAAACATTACTCAGCAAATGGCCCTCCCGGTCTCTAATTTGTACCTCAGAGAATATGTAGCTCAGAGAATAGCCTAATTCTCTAATTGAGATCCAAGAAACCACAACAAGAAACCGTAGCAGTGACATGAAGAAAAGTCTCTGGAAAAACTTTAGCCCTTCTTTCTGCTCACCAGAGATCTGTTGCCTTTCCTCTCTCTTTACTGGCTCTCCCATTTAGCTTGGCAACTGCCCCTGGTCCTGTCTGCCCCAGCTCCAGCCCATGACCTCCCCTTTTGATTCCCCTTTTTGACCTCAGCTGCTTTTCTGGATGCTGTTCTGCTGTGTGTCATTAGGCCCCACATCATGACCCAAGATACTCCTGCTTCCCTCCTGGCCCCCTGTTAGCCCCCAGCTTCTCTGCCTCTTGCTGGCCTCCTACCAGAGGACAAAAGGTGGGGAGAACTTAATAGAGCCATTGTTCATTTTAATGATAGTCATGATCAGTGGGTATTTGTAGACCATATGACACTTATCAAAGTGCATTCACACTCATCATTTCATTTCATTCATGTAAACTTCTGAGACACAGCAGGCTTTTGACCATTTTATAGTTATAGGAACTGACAGGGTAATAAGAGGACAAACAAGAGACCAGCTCATCACTAGCCCATCAGGTTTATACTCTCTATAAAAGGAGCTATTGCTTTTTTGGGGGGAAACTTCTTGAGCATCTCTTACAAGAGTCCTTGACAGAATGATGGATATTTGTGTTCTCAGAGGGACTGAAGTTCTGGAGTTATAAGGATAGGTTGGCCAGTCTTGGTTCCAGTAACAAACATCGTACTAACCCCCTGTCACTGAACATTCCCACCTGTGGGTGTCCAAATGGAGAGTAATGCAGCTCCAATTTACTGGAAGTTCTTCAAACTTCCTAAGCAGTGGATAGATGCTATACTAATAGGGCCTCTTCCCTCATCTCAACCAACGTGCATCATGATGATTCATGAATGGATCGCTGTCAACATTTCTATGTTCTCTCTTTGGGTGGTCAAGTTATTCCCAAACCTGACCTTCAGTGTTCTCCATCTCCAAAACCACAAAGATCAAACTCACTTGAGTAACACTCGATGTCCTTCAAAAGCTGGCTCATTCTCTTATTCTATTTACATTATTTGCCTCTAAATTAGGTTCCAGGATCCAAGTCCATACAGTTTGTGTTGTAGGCTTCCCCCTATCAATAAGCAATTATTTGACACCAGCAGGGTGTCAAGGACTTCAACTAAATTCTGACACCACCTACCTGAACACAGAATCAGAACCATAGGTAAAGGACTGAGTCCTACAAGACTGCCCTCACTTCAGACACCAATCACAAGTTCAGGTTGTCATCTGTGCCTCTGATAGACTGGCTAGAAATCAGAGGTTCCCATGCTCCTCTCCTCAGATTTGATAATTTGCTAGAGTGACTCACAGAACTCAGAGGCATGTGGAAATGTTCTGGTTTCCCAACATGGAAGCTTTTTAAACCCCCACCTTTTGGGTTTTATAGAGGCTCCATTATGCAGGCATGACTGATTAACTCATTGGCTGTAGGGGATTGATTCAGCTTCTAGCCCCTCACCCATCCCCAGAAATCAGGAGGCAGGACCGAAATTTCCACCCTTTATTCATGGTTGTTTCCCGTAGCAACCAGCTTCCATGTATAGGTGTCTTGCAAAAGTCACCTTCATTAACGTAAACTCAGCTGTGGTGAAAGGGCTTGTTATAAATAAAAAAACACCCATTTCATCTTTATGGATCTGAAGGGAGTTCAGGAACTGAGGACAAATATTATAAGATACCAAATATTATAAGAAGATATTTTCCCATTGCTCTTATTGCTTAGGAAATTCCAAGAGTCTTGGGAGCTGTGAGCTAGGAATTGTGGATGAAGACCAAATATATATGAGAAATATACTTTGGTCATCTGAATAACTCTCTCTCTCTCTCTCTCTCTCTTTCTCTCTCTCTCTCTCTCTCTCTCTATATATATATATATATATATATATATATATTTCTTATAAACCACAATATTGCAGCTCCATTCTTGACCTTTCTATATTGCATACCCCATAGTCCACACTCCAGTTACACTGATAAATCCCTAATGCTCAGTTATGCCTTTTGCTAATGCTGTTCCCTTTGGTGAAAATCTCTGCCTTGCTGTCTTTGTCTTCCAAGCTCCCATTCATCCTTCAAAACCCAGCTCAAATGCCTCTCCTCTGGAGAGTCTTCTCCAACTCTCCTGATGAGTTTTCTTTCCTTCCCTCTGAGCTTTCACAGAATATGTGGTCCATTTCTTATCAGCTTCAATTTCTTATAACTATTCATTACTTCTCTGTATCCCTTGCTTGATTGTGAGGTTTTGAGGGTATTTGTTTTTCAAGCTGTTCCTGGCACATGATGGATAACTGAAGTGTCTTTGTTGAAGGAGAGAGAAAAGTAATATGACAGTAATAAAACTATTTATTGAAAATGCCAGTCATGTGCTAGGTGCTTTCTCAACATTATTTTTAAAACTCACATCAAACTTGTGAGTTAGACTTTATGATCATGGGGTGTAGAGAGGTTAAATAACTGGCTCAAGGACACAGAGCTAGTGGATGGTGAGCATAAATTTGAGTGTAGGTCTGTATGATTCTTCCAATAGGCAATACTGCTTTCTACCCCTCCTACATAGTTAAAGTTCCTGCTCAAACTTCCCTTCCATGTGCTCATGGATTCTGAGTGCTTCCCCCTCCTCCAGTCCCTGTATCTCTTTCCAACGGAAGAAGTCTGGCATTCCCTGACTTGACTCTGAGATAACTCTCTATCTCACCTGGCCATTATGTTTGAGGCCAAGGGATGGGGGGGAGAGGAGATACAAATGAAAATGGGAAGAGCTGGTTTCACTAAAAATTGTGGGATTTAAGAAGTATAGATAGTATCACATGGAGCCCACTTAACAACAAATAATAATGTGAAAAGAAGAGAGGTTCTCCCTACCAACCTTGCAAGGAGTCAATACCTATACACTAAGGGCTTAATAACACAGCTCAGTCCTGGATCTATGAGGGCATCCCCCAGGCAATGGCTTCAGCAGGGCCAGTAGCTCCAGAAGGACACAGTCTTCAAAGTGGCAATGGGAACCCATTGCTCTGAAAAGCCATATCAACAGTGGTAGGTGGTGTGATGTGACATGCTTGAGAGTGCTGAAAGACAGGCCTTGGCAGGGACTGTGTGGTGTTCACAGAGAGCCCTGGCAGCACATCCAGTAAAGGGGTTGGGGGTCAGGGAAGAAGAGAAGGAAAAGATGAGGGAACATATGAGAGAACTCCTAGAGAGATGCCCTGACATAACTGGGAATGATTCTGAAATGGAAACATAGCAAGAGTAGGTGGCAAAAGAACTGGAGAGACACTGTTTGTTACTGTTATCTAGTCCTATTTTTATCCTCAGTACACTTAGGTGTGGGAAAGTGCAGGTGGACATGCATCTTTTTGGATCTTATTGTATATCCTATATTGCTCTATTTGATTCACTTATTCACCTACTCAACTAATATTTACTATAGTCTAGATATGGTTTTACTATTCACACAGTCATCATAGCATAACTGTACACTGATTTCACTACAGCTTCACCAACCCAGAATGGAATAATTATCATGTTTACTGCTAGTAGTTTTGTTTTGTTTAATGATTTTGAAATACCTAAAAAATATAAGGACTGGCTAATAACTTTTGTTCTAATTTCAGAAATTTGTAATTAGATAAACATTTTTCAAAGTTACACAAATTAAATGTCACAAATTAAATTATCAAAATGTCACAATTACCCAAATGTGGGCTCTCAATGAATATCCCACATTCTCAGGAATGTGTGGGGGTATCCTTCCCCAGTCTGGCTGGCTGCAGCCTAAGGCCTCTGCACCATTATTTTTCTAGATTGTCAGTGAGGACTAACCAGGTGTGGCTTAGAGGTTCCATCTTAATGCATGAAAAGTAGAATATGTTAAGCTCAGTGAATGCCTGCTGGGGAATGAAGGAGAAATGGCATTTTTACTTTCCTGCTTCCCTTTTTTTCCCCCCTCAAGAGTTCAAATAAATTGCATTCAACCTTTATCAAGATGGTTCTGAGTGTCATGATACTAGAATAAATGCTCTAGCTCCACCTCCTGGAAGCTTCCACCATCCTAAGCCTAACTCCATCTGTGTTTTTGTTCTGAACCACCAGGGCCCTCACACTGCAGGAATATCCTGCAGTCCACCTACCATCATCCTGACTGGGGAGGCCAGTTCACCAGAAGGAGAAACCGATAAAAACCTGGTCAACAGGTACATCCCATGTGCCTAATCTTTGTGCTGTGAAGAACAATATTTCCTAGCATGTGAGGATTAGACATATATATATATATATATATATATATATATATATATATGCACAAATCATAGCTGGCAGTTTTCTATAATAACTGCCCAGATATTTGCAAACAGACCTGAGAGATATGAGTCTTTGACTGGAGAATCCTGCCCTGGTCAAAGTGTGTCCTGTGTGGAAGATGAAACTTTGGGCAGGACATTGGCTCACATACACAGGGATGTCACTGCCTCAGTTTGGCACAGCACTAGCACATGCATTGGTTTAGGTGGAATAATTTAGGTGGAATAAGATCATGTAAGTATAGTTTCCAAAAGCTACAAAGATCATTCTCATACAAATATATAGTGAGCATGTGTCAAAGATTGACTGAACTCATTGACAAGGGAACCATGAGGATAACAAAGCCAGTTCAAAAGAGGATATAAGAGATGGAAATACATATATAATCAGTGAGGAGGAAAAGAATGCTGGAATATGATTGCTAAATTAGCTATAAAATAGGTTAATATTCCACAATGAAACCTTGTTTTTTGTCTTTCTTCCCCTTCTGGGGATCATCTACACCTCTTCCAGACAATTATCCACATTTTATGAGTTTTCTACAGTTAGATGTTCACTCAGAGTCTGGGCCCTAATGAACAGTAAATAGTCAAAGTTACATTTCCTTAGGGAAGTGTTTCAAAAGCTTTAGCAAGCATCAGAATCACCTGGGGGGCATGTTCAATCAAGATGTCTAGGCCCCACCCTCAGAGTTTCTGATCCATTTGGTCTGGGGTGGAACCTAAGAATTTGCATTTCTAACAAGTTCTCAAGCTTAGACAAGCTTGTAAGATGATGCTCTAGGATGACTTTGAAAGAATATACAGGTATCTGTTTGCGTGTTTACCAGTTGTGGACAAATTTTCTTAAAATGATTCTGTTCTGTCTTTCAGAGCTCACAGTCCCCATAGGAGGCTTTCTCACCGACACTTGAAGATTTCCACTGTTTCGCTGACTTCTGTGGGTAAGAGCTAGTCCAATTTATCTTCTGCAACCAGAGACAGGGGTCCAGCTGAAGGTGTGTTTGAGCAGGAAGGCTAAGATCTGGGGGCTTAGCCAGGCTCAGCCCCTTTTCCTCTCCTGATTCTCAGGCAGGTCCATCCCTATGACCCCAAGAGGGCAAAGTTGGTCTTCCCCTCTGTGTTTGAGTCTAGAAGAAATCTGATATCTAATTTTAATCTATTTGGTAAAAAGAGAAGACCAGGTGGTAAAGGAAAAGATGAGGAAGTCAAAAAGAGTACAGCTGGGTGAGGCTCAATTCTGGGGCTCGGGGGACAGAGGCCTCCACCTCCTGCTAGAAAGGCCCACATCCAGGTTGGCATGTGCCTGAATGCAAGCATGGCTGCCCCAACCACAAGTTTATTCTCCAAATGGTTTCTCAGGGTCTGTTATGAACCAGTGGAACAGAGATGTCATACAGACTTGGTCTCTGCCTTCATGTTGCTCATAGTGGAACATATATAATCAAGACACTGTATTTTTTTTCTTTTTTTAAATTTATTTATTATTTTTTTCTTACAAATAGTTTATTGTCAAGTTGGTTTCCATATAACATCCAGTGCTCATCCCCACAAGTGCCCTCCTCCATGCCCATCTCCCCCTCCCCCCCACATCCATCAGTCCTCAGTTTGTTTCTCAGCATTCAAGAGTCTCTCATGGTTTGCCTCTCTCCCTTTCCCCCACCATTTCCCCCCTTCTTCTCCCCCATGGTCCTCAGTTGAGTTCTTCCTAATCCTCCTATACGTGCAAACATATGATATTTGTCCTTCTCTGCCTGACTTATTTCGCTCAGCATAACACCCTCAAGGTCCATCCATGTTGCTACACATGGCCAGATTTCCTTCTTTCTCATTGCCATGTAGTATTCCATGGTATAGATAAACCACATCTTCTTGATCCATTTGTCCGTTGATAGACACTTAGGCTCTTTCCATGTTTTAGCTATTGTTGAGAGTGTTGTTATGAACATTGGGGTACATGTGCTCCTATGCATCAGCACTCCTGGATCCCTTGGGTAAGTTCCTAGCAGTGCTATTGCTGGGTCATAGGGGAGTTCTATTGTTAGTTTCCTGAGGAACCTCCACACTGTTTTCCAGAGGGGCTGCACCAGTTTACATTCTCACCAACAGTGTAGGAGGGTGCCCGTTTCTCCACATCCTCGCCAGCATCTAGAGTTCTCTGATTTGCTCATTTTAGCCACTCTGACTGGCGTGAGGTGGTATCTCAGTGTGGTTTTGATTTGTATTTCCCTGATGAGGAGGGATGCTGAGCATCGTTTCATGCAAGACACTGTATTTTAAGGCTCTTCACAGAAGTGTTAAGGGGCGCCTGGGTGGCTCAGTCGGTTAAGCGTCTGACTTCAGCTCAGGTCATGATCTCACGGTTCGTGGGTTCGAGCCCCACATCGGGCTCTGTGCTGACAGCTAGCTCAGAGCCTGGAGCCTGCTTCAGATTCTGTGTCTCCGTCTCTCTTTGACCCTCCCCTGCTCACGCTGTCTCTCTCTCTCTCAGAAATAAACATTAAAAAAAAAAAAAAGAAGTGTTAAGGAAACTGAGGCAAGAAGGGGACCAATTCTCTCTGGGGAGGGGATAAGATGGATAGAAATTCCAAAAGAAAAAGTATTTAAGTTGTGCCTCAAAGAGTTGGACAGACAGACAAGAGGAAGAAAAAGCATCCTAGGTGGAATAAACAACATGCTGGTGATGCAGGAACCATAGCAGAGCAACTGAATGTTCTGATGTGTATATTAGGGTCAGGGCTCTTTCAAATGCTAGAAACCTAACTCAAACTCTCTTACACCAAAAATACATACATAATACACTCATTCATACATACATACATACAAATAAATAAAAGCCAGGTCTTGTGGTTTCTAGAGTACTGAATCCAGGTGCTCAAGCTGGGTCATTAGTAATTGGTTTATCCTATCTCTCAAGTTTCATGTATTTGCTTTTTTTTTTTTTTTTTCCGCGAATGTCTACCAGCATTTTTAGGCTATGTCTCATCAGTGGAAATACAGTGGCTTTTCCTGTATACTCAACAATTACAAAACTTGCCTCTTCTTGGCCTCCCATGGCCTTCCCTGAGCCAATCACTATGGAGATTGAACTCATTGACTAGCCAAGGCTGGGGTGGGGGGGGTGGAGAATAGAGTTTAGCTTCTTCCTAAGTAACATAACTGATACTCAGAGAAGTATCATCCAATGCAAACTGAGGAGCTACAACCAGAAGAAGGGGGAAGGGGGAAGGGAGGCTGGAGAGGCACAATGAGAGCTGTTCATCACCAAGGGGGAGAGCAGGGGGCTTAGGAGAAGTATGTGGGATGGGCAAAAGTGCTGGGCCAAGTTTGGCCTTTGCACATGACAAGGGACCATGAGGAATCCTGATGTGGTAAGACAGGAGAACTGTAAGGTCAGTTATGGCTCTTAGGGAAGTCATTCTGATAGGCAGTAGAAGATGGGATGAAGGGGATAGCCTGAAGGTAAAGGACTTAGGAAGTTGCTGTTGTAATTGTGCAGGTAAGATCTAAGAAACAAGAATGGAGAGGAGGCACAATTTCCAAGAGATATTTATGAGGTAAATGATGATCAGGACTTGATGATCAATGGATGGGACATGAAGAGACTGAAGAGGGAGAGTTGAGTGACTCCCATGTTTCTGAGCAGCTGGGTAAAGCAGTGTCATTCACCCAGAGAAGGGCTGTTGGAGAAGAGGCATTTTTGGAGAAGGATGGAGGTAGACAGTGTGAGTAGAGGAAAGAAGGGAGGGAAGGTGACCATGATCTTTGGAGTGCTTCCTTTATCCACACATCTTAATCTCACTAGTTGTTGAAGAAATAGACCTGAAAGAAAAACACACTAGGGAAACAGCATGGAGGTAGAACTCATGATGGCTTTCCCTAATGGCAGAGTTTAGGACAGTTCTGGAAACCTAGGTGGAACCTGGGACCATTTGTTACAGAGGACTTGCCACAAGCACAGGCTACAGGCAGCCCTATCTGTCTAAGGCAGCCGTATCTGTCTTCCTGGCCTCGCACTGGGCCAACATTTTGCTGGCTGTCCACTCTGGGTAGGTTCCCTGGGCTGAGGTATTAGGGGGCCCAAGGATTCCATGGCTCTTGCCTCACGTTCACCCTCCCATTGTAGATCCTGCAGGACACGTTATTGACCTGGTACATGACCAGCTGCCAGATATCAGCATCTCAGAGGAGGATAAGAAGAAAAACCTGGCGCTGCTGGAAGAAGCCAAGTTAGTGAGTGAACGATTCCTGACCCGCCGCGGGAGGAAGTCCAAGAGCGGCCCCGGAGACTCCCTGTCAGGTAGGATGCCCAGGTGGCTGCTCTGAGCACCTCCAAGGTGGCGTGGGGGATAGGGAGGGCCAGGCCCCAGTTGTACTAGAAAGAAGCCCTGCTTCCAAGGGGTGGCCTTTGACTTGCCTGCCCCCAGACCTCTAGGCCCCAAGAGGACTGAGTCCTGTGGAGAGAATCTTGTGAGGAGAAGACATTCTTACTCTGTCTCAGAAGCTCTAAAATACTGATCCAACTTTAGCCCAGAAAACTCTGCTTTTCATTTTAGGCCTATTGTGTTTTTCTGTTTCACCAAGAAACATTAGCCCATATGATACCCATGAATTTAGCATGGGTTTCCCCTCCCTGAATCCTGTGTAGCGAGAAATCCCTGTGTGATGCCCATGTGCACAGGCTCCTGGACTACCCTGCTTGGATGGAGTCCTCTTGTGGTAGGAGCCTTTTCTGGCAGTCCAGAATCAGCCTCTGTCCCTGATGAAGCGATCCTAGTTCCCAGGAGTCAGAAATACCTGAAAGGATGTCTTTGTTTAGCTGAAGTTGTAAACCTTTACAAATGCTGGCCAGTTTGTGTCTGTCTCCACAGCTGTTTCCCTGAACCTCAGCCCCGGAGCTTCTCCCTCATCCTCTCAAAACAACTCGCTTACTGTTCCTACGCTGCCTGGTGAGGTCCAGAGCCCCTGACATCTCCTACCCTGGCTTCTCCCTTTGGGTGGCAGCTGGGCCCCTCCTGTGGACTGGGCAGGATGCTTCCTATCTTGCAGGCTTTCTAGTCAGGATCCCTGTTTGGTCTCCTCCACACAGGACTCGCAGCTAGGACTGGCTGGGCTGCCTCTGAGGAGGTGGATGTACTTTCTGTTGGGGGTCTGAGGTAGTGTGGGGAGACAGGCCTAGCCCAGGATGGTGCCACGTAGGTAAGGATGGAGGCAAGGCTGTGGGAAGGAGGCTACAACTGGTGCTTTCTCTGCTAAGAGAGGACTTGCAGAGAGATCACCTCCGAACTTATTTAGAAAGGCCTCTATTTGGGCCACTCTTTTCTTTTTTGCTTTCTTCCCTTTTGTTAGGCTGTGTATATGGCCATGCCCACAAACCAGCTGGGGAAGAGGCATGGTGCCAGGGAGAGCAGCATGCCCTTGTCAGAGCTGTGGGGCAGGCTCAGGTTCCAGCCAAGCAACCTGGGTTCAATTCCCAGTGATGGTACTTCCTGAATACGTGACCTTGCTTTCCCTCTGACTTGATTTCCGCATGTGGTTTTCGTGCTGATTAAATGAGGGCTCACCACAGAACCTGACATGTGGGAGATATTCAACAAATGGTGATGTTACTGGTAACCAGGCCTGAGGGAATTGGGGGAGGACATTCTGGAGAAGTAGATGTGTTTTTGCTAAAGGGTCAGCTAACAGTCTGGAGTGCTGGACATCACTCACCAGTGTCTGGACCATTTCAGGTTTGGATGCCTGCAGTGGCCCACAGTCTCCTTTGCCTGGAGCACCACCACAGGTAACAGGGACCCAGTCTGGGGTTTCAATGCCACCTGGTCTCTCTTCTTACTCCTTCACTCCTGTAAGGCCCTCCATGATGTATTGAGATGAGGGTACTGGGAGGAGGAGACATCTATACCACTGTTAGGGACTTCTTTGAGGGTATTTCAAGAGGAGATATGGTTTCTTCACATTGCTGTCTGACTTGTGTTTACTTTCTCCAACAGAAGGGGGATGAGGCAGAAGTCTCTTCACCTCATCTTAGCGAACCTGTAAGTGTGAGCTCTGCCCAATTTGCATGATTTGGGTGTGGAAGACACTGTTCTGAAAGCCTAGGCTGGCCCTGAGCAGCTTATGAGTGGGTGTACATGAGTGGAGGGTCAAGGCTGGGGAAACTAGAAGGTTCCTCCATCCTACAATGACTGGAAGTCTGAAGTGGAGGGGGGTAAGGAGATAGGATTCAGTGGGGGTCACCTCCATGGTGGTCCTGCCTATATCCCTGCACCCTTAATCAGGCCACTGACCAGAAACTAGGGGGAATACTAGGCCCAGCAGCAGTCAGGTAAGACTGCTGCTTTTGTCAGCTCTGATGAAAAGTGCAGTAAAGTTCCAGTGCCTAGTTGGGATTCTTCCTTGGGGCAGCTTAGAAAACCTTATCTTTGCTGATGAGCATTAGAAGGGTCCCACCCCTACTCAGAGCAAAGTGCTCAAGGTTGTGTTGAGGGCAGCATAAAATATAATATCATCTAGAACTGGAGCTGGAATAGAGTCCTCTGGGAGAGTTTCAGTACTCATACAAGATAGCCACACAAATACTCACAAGCAGGTTTCCCTTGGGAAATGAAATAAGAAAGATATCACTTTTGCAAGAATCACCTGGTCCAATGATCCTTAACCTCTTTCAGATCAACTTGCTGTGAAATTATTGAAAGATGTGGATTCTCTTCCCAGAAAAATGCAACACACAAACATAAACACACATATACATTTTCACTAATTCCAGAGGTTTCACAAATCTGATGAGAAACTGAGTCCCTAAGAGTTAAGGTCCTTGCCAGGAAGAATCAGGACTAGAAACTAGAGCAACTGAGTCAAGGCCAAAACTTGTGACTGCCCCCAATCTGCCCTCTATTCCACTGTCCTCCACAGATCCTAGCCCTTGGGAAGTTCTTGGCAAATTGTAAATGGCAGGTCCCCTTGTCCTATCTGTTTTACAGACCTCAGTCTTGTCTGTGGATCCCCTTTACTGGTTCAGATATGACAGAAGCCCTCCCCTAGCACTTAATGCACACACACACACACAAACACACAGGCCCCTTAGCAGGTCTGTGGAGGCAGAGACCCCATAGTGGAAGTGGCCACACTTCTTTCCTCTCCAGGCTGCCTCTAGAGTTCTAGCTGTACCTTGTCTCTTTCAGAATGTCTCCAAAGGGCTAGCTGACCGGAAGCAGAATGACCAGAGGAAAGTGTCTCAGGGCAAGCTGACTCCTCGTTCTTCCACAACTGAGAAGTCCAAAGAGATTGCAATTGAACAAAAGGAAAACTGTGATCCCCTCCTGTGCTCTGAGGCCACACACAAGGGCTCAGCTTCTGGCATAGGCAGTGGTGGGAAAATGGCCTTGAATAGCCCTCAGCCTGGTTCTGCTGAAAATGAGCTGGGAAAGGCGCTTCTGAAGACAGCCAGGGAGGGCAGCCCTCTGCCTAGAGGTCCAGCCCAGGGATCTGGAGGGGTGGTTCCCCTGACCCCCGAGGGAAAAGATACAGCTGGAGAGCCGACAGGGTCAAAGTTTGGCTCCAAAGCTGAGCTGTGGCCCCCTGCTTCCCGGCCGCCCCTACTGCGGGGGGTCTCCAGGGACAGTGGTCCTGAAGAACCTGGCCCCCGGCTGCAGAAAGTACTTGCCAAGCTGCCTCTGGCAGAGGAAGAGAAGCGTTTTTCAGGCAAAGCTGGCAGCAAGCTGGCCAAGGCACCTGGACTCAAAGATTTTCAGATACAAGTGCAGCCAGTGAGGATGCAGAAACTGACTAAGCTCCGAGAGGTGGGTTCCTGAGGGCCAGCTGGGAAGGGTGCACTACAGGTCCTTCCTGAGCTGCAGACCTCTGGGCTGAGCTAGACCTGGGGCAGGATAGTTCTGGCCTGGATTTGGGCCTTATAGGGCCCTAAGCTTCCCCACAAATCAGGACCACTGTGCAGCCTCTTCTTCATAAATGCCAGTTTCAGGGGCTTTTATCTCACTTACTAGGGTAAGGTCAGTGTGGGATATAGTTGCCACACAAAGCCGTATGAAGCCACATTTTAAGGAAGTTATACGGAGGGGCACATGGGCCCTCAGTACTGGGCTGTGTTTTCCCTTCCAGCCAGAGCTGGAAGCTCATAAACAGGAAGCCCTTGATGGAGCACCTTGTCATGCCTAGGACTGGGGTAGGCAAGGATGGAATAGCTTTTCCCTTTGTCAGGGCCCCCAGATTTCCTTCCTGATGCCTGTTAACAAAGGGCCTCAAATCCATCTTCAAGGATAATGATGGCCATGAGGGACTGCTCCCCCTGTGATGAATTTCTTCCAATGTCTGTGATGTCCTCAATGTTCACTGGCCATCAAACTAGGCACAGTAGTCTCTCATGGGGCTGTCAGCCAATGCAGGGGGATATTGGGAGTATCCAGCGACGTAGGGGACAGAGACAGGGTGTGGGAGCAAGAAAGGTTAACAGGACAAAGGAATCATTACCCAGTCCTCTCTTCCCCAGAGGGCCAACCCAGGCCACAGGTCAAGACAACTGGGACTCCATGGGGTGGGACTTAGCACCCTCATGGCCAGAACTGGACAAGGCTCTCCTGGCTCCCCTGCAGAATGGGTGTGAGATGGGGAAGGAAAAGAGGTATCTGATAGTGGTCAAGCACAAGAGAGGAGGTTTCTGTGCTAGCAGGGATATGTTGCAACGTGTTCTATTCAGAAACCTTCATTACTATTCAGAAACTTTCCATGATGTTCTGAATTAAGGGCTCCAGGGAGCTGCTAAGGAAACAGGTAAAGGGCCATGGCTAATTACTTTCATTTGGGCCATAAGCACCCTCTGCTGGCCCCTCCCCTTCCTTCTTTATGCAGGGTCAAGTAGCCCCTACTACACATGAGACTGAAAATGCCTTTATAAGCACAAGTAACAAGGGGTGAGGAGATCTGACAGACATTGGAAGCGCTGGTCTGGTACTGATTGATTTGGAGCAGGTGTGAGCCTTCCTGTACCATATACATGTGGTCAGCATCCCCATCTCTCCTGGGCTTTGACTGGTGAGGCCCCAGGCAGTATGGTGGAGCAGCAATTCCCAAGCCTCATTTGTCTGGAGAGTTTAACAAATCAAGGACACACTAACAGGCCACTGGGGAACTGGAATGCCCCCTGGAAGTGGGCATTCACTGCCCTAAACAGCAGGAGAAGCTCTAGCCAGCTCGAAGCACAGTCATGAGCTCAACAAAGATCATTTCCAGCAGACGCTTCATACACAGCCAGGGGACCATCTTGTCCCCAGAGTCCTGAGATCTGCTTCTGTTTGTTGTATAGCTCTCAGCCACAGTGTGGCTGGAGCTCATTTGCCCAGAAGCCCACAGGTTTATTTAAAAATCAGACCATGCCAAGGACAACTCTTAAGGAATGTGGTGCTAAGGTTTCAGGCACCTTTACGGGCTGGGACAGGAGCAGTCTTCCAGATGCCTTTCATATGTCACATGTCATGACTGTACCCACCTCTGAGGCTGCCCCTAGTACCTCCCATATGAGGCTGAGTAAACACAGGGCCAAAGACAGAACCGAGAGAAGAGTTCAGCCTGATGATATCATCAAAATGTTGTTTTCTTCTTTTCCTAAAAAGGAGCACATCCTGATAAGAAATCAGAACTTAGTGGGGCTCAAGCTTCCAGACCTTAGTGAAGCGGCTGAGCAGGAAAAAGGTAGGTGGGGTCGGGGCAGATGTTCTTCTCAAGCCAGTGCTGGATTCATTTTCGCCAGATTAAAGAAGGTGAATGTGTAAATACTAGACTTCCTGTCAGGGCCTTTGTCCCATTGGCAAGTGTGGGCCAAACACAAAGCAGGCCCTCAGTAAATATTTGCAGATAAATGAATGAATCAGATTGTTTCCTGCCCACTCAGAGAACCTCTAAACTTGTCTCCTTCCAACCAGACCCCTCTGAGCCTCGTTAGCACTTAGTAGGCCTGAAAGGGTGACCCAGGCCTGAACTTTTGACACTTCCTTTTCCTCTCACACCCAGGAAGCTACCCAAATAGAACAGTTCCTCTTTTCAAGACATCAGAGTCATCTCTTGCTTTCTAATTTGCTGTCGCCACAAAGTACAGACCCCAGCCCTTTCCTCCCTGGCCCTTCAAGTCCCCACCTATCCACCCTGCCAGACTGATTTTCAGAAAATAAGACTTTGGGTCCCCTGCCTCCCTCCCTTCCCCCATTCTCCTGGCTCACCTCTTCTATGGGTCATGCTACCTGTGGTCAGTCTCAGCACAGAAGCTTTCTGCCTAAGGCTTGTTGTGTAAGCATGTCCAGGGTGCCACCAACCATGTTGGAAGCCCTAATCTGAAATATAGTTAACTAACACCAACCTATTCAACATTAACAAGATTCTCAGAAGTAAAATATCCAACAATTTTTTTAAAGTACTAACTTAAAAAATTAGCCACTTGTAGAGGAAATTTCTGGAAGAATATTATATACTTTTCTACTTTTAATTTTTAATTTGCTTATTAAAGAAGATTCAAAACACTAGGAAAGTTTCTCTTAAAATTTCTCCCATAACCCCATAAATTCCGAAAAAAGCAATGTTTATTCTTTCCAGTATTTACCTGTATTTATAATTTTTTCACAATTGATTTGATTGTGTAGATATAATTTCCCGTTTCTACTTTTAATACTTATTTCATAACCAATTCCATACATTTTGACTTGTCCTTTTATTTATCATTTGATGAATATATCTTTTGTATTGATGTATCTATTGTTGGGTACTTCAGATGTTTACAGTTCCTTTAACTATGATTAACCACCCTACTTTAAACAACTTGGTACTTGTGTTTTCTTTCTTCCTTCCTTTAAGTTACTCTATTGGGATAAATTTTCAGGCTTGAGATTCATTGGGTCAAAGTATAGAAACATTTGCATTTACTAAATTGCTTCCAATGTAGAATGCTACCTGCAAAGACTGAGTGAGGACTCTTCCTCCTAAGAACTACCAGCACTGGACTTTGCTTTGCTTTTACTCCTTACGGGCCAGAATACAATAACAACCAGATAATCAATAAATGCCACTTTGCTATTACTTCAATTAATTTGCTAGCAAGCAAGTTCAAATTTAAGCATTTTAAATATTTATTTACTCTGTTTTTTTCTTATTGGGTAGATTAGCTTTTCATCTCTTTATCCAAGTGTCCATTTGGGCCTTAGGGTTTTTGTTGGTTTCTTTTTTGTTGGTAACATATGTAAACCCTATAGATATTAACCTTTCACTGACTATATTTTTTTCTTGTAAATGATTTCCAGTTTCATACCATTATGGTTGGAAAAAATGCTTGATATAATATCAGACTTCTTAAATTTATTGAGACTTGCCTTCTGCCCTAACATATGATCTATCCTGGAGAATGTTCCATGTGCTCTTGAGAAGAATATGTATTGTATCGCTTTTGCGTGGAATGTTCTGTGTATGTCTTTTAGGTCCAACTGGTCTAATGTGTCATATAAAGCCAATGTTTCCTTATTGATTTTTCTCTCTGGATAATCTATCTATGATGAAATAGGGGGCATTAAAGATCCTTACTATAATTGAAGTGCTGAAAATTTCTCCCTTTAGGTCTGTTAATATTTGTCTTATGTTAGGTGCATAAATATTCACAAATCTTATATCTTCTTTTGGATTTGTATTTTTCTCAATACTTTTTCATTCTATCATTTTTCATTTAACAGGTTTTGTTATTTCAGATTATAAAGGTCTTAAAATCATCTTTGTCTATCTTTTCCTTTGAGAAGTCTTCCATTATTTAAATCATTATAAGAAGATTACTTCTCCTTAATTGGGATAGCAAATCTATTTTCTTTTTTCTTTTTAATGTTTTATTTATTTCTGAGAGAGAGAGAGAGAGGCAGCATGAGCAGAGGAGGGTCAGAGAGAGAGGGAGACACAGAATCTGAAACAAGCTCCAGGCTCTGAGCTAGCTGTCAGCACAGAGCCTGATGCAGGGCTCAAACCCATGAATCGTGAGATCATGACCTGAGCTGAAGTCGGACGCTTAACCAACTAAGCCACCCAGGCACCCCAGAAAATCTATTTTCTAATAGTTTATAGTTTGATCTATTTTTTGCTAATACCTGTGAAATTTATTTTAAGATATTAGTTATTTAGAGATTTAAGATCTTGTTACCTCGATAATACTTTGATAATATGTATATTTCTTGCTATCTTGTGGCTTAGACAATCATATACTACATTCTTTATATATATATATCTCAAATACTAGTTCTGGGCCCTTGATTCTGTTTTATTCTGATCAATACTGTGCCATTTTACTTACTGCTGCCATATAATATGTTCTAGTATGTAGTGAGGTTACTTCTCTCTCATTGATCTTCTTTCTCAGAATATTCATTATGTCCTAGATATAAAGATTCAGTGCAAAATAATGCAAAGAACAACTGGACAAAAAGTCAGGAGACTTGAGTTAATGTCCCAGTTCAGGAACCAACTGACAGAGTCTTTAAATATGTTCTTCAACCTCCGTTCTCTCTTGGACTAGAGAGGACCTCAGAAGGCTCTTAACTTTAATCTAAGATTCAAGGATTACAAGTCTTTTCTAGTTTTGCCTCTTACCTACCTATTTCTCTAAGTGAAATTTATACCATTTTATACAACATTTTAATTGCGATTGCTCTAATGCTACACATTGGATTCAGAAGAACTATCCTAGTTTTGTTTGTTTTACAGTTTATAGAGTTTTAAATTACTTACTTTGAAAACATTTAGTTCTCACTCAAATATATGGTTTGTCCCTCTATTGAGAATTCCTTCCTTTTTCCTTTAAAAGACTTAACATTCTCTGTACAGGTCTCCCATTTTACTTATTGGGACACATTCTATGTGATGTATAATTTTACTTGTTTATGAAGAAGACTCTTTTTCATTAGATTTTCCTAGCTGATAATTAGTGGCATAAATGAATGCTTCTTGCTACTATACATGTTCCTTGTATATTAACAAATGGTAGAGGGATTCTACAGTGACTAACTAGCACTATTACTATAACCAGGGTAATTACTACATCCAAGGTACTAGCCTAGGCTAATATTTGATAGCATTTCACATAATGTTCACAGCAATCCTAAGAGGTAGGCTGTACTATTTAGACCCATTTTACAAATGAGGAAATTGAGGCCCAGGGAAGTTAAGTTTACTTGGTTGTTAATTGCTAAAGCCAGGATCAGAACCCAAATGTTACCAAGTCCAAAAGCTCTTGACCACTTTGCACAATGTGTTTTTCACATTCACAATCTGTTATTTTTCTTTCATGGAATTCACTGCTTGTCCTCGCTGTGTGTTTCTGCATGTATGTGTGTACTTCTCTTGTGTATCTGTCTATGTTTTATACTTTGGCGACATTCTCTAATATGATAATGGCGGTAAGGAGAACATTTGCCTTATTTCTGTTTTTAATTGAATTGTTTTTGTGTTTTTCTTTGAAGGATTGTGTTGTGTCTAATTCTTAAATAGATATATTATTTCAGTTTATTATTATTATATGACATTTTATATTACTAAATAGAAAAATATATAAAATGTAATAAAAGATAAAAATATATAAAATGTAAAAATACATTTCATATAGTATATTACTTTATATTTATATTTTTATTATTTTAAGGAAATACTCTTAGGTTTAAAGTTTCAATATTTCTGATAAATTTTATCAATTTGGTTTGGATATCTATTGAAAGAATCATGTTAATTATATCATTTAATATTATTAATAAATTTCCATATTTAGAAATAAACCTTTGTGGTCCTGGAATAAAACTCATCTGGCCATGTTGTATTTTCTTTTATGTATAATACCAAATTTTCTATAGAAGTATTTCCTTTAAAGTATTCTGCAACATTCCGGCATTAGTTAAGATAAAATCTAAGATGCTATGACATAGAGGCCCCAAAGTATGATAATCTATAGGATAGAGAAGATTGTCTCAGCCTTGGGTAATGATTCTAAGGCAAGCTGTCAGGTTAGCAGGCGGCTCTGCTCTACATAACTGTTCAGGGACCTTGGTTTTTTCTCTGTTGTCATTTTGCCATCCCCTGGGGTGTTATACATGATCAAAGCTGGATTGTGGGGAAATTTGTGTTCCAGTTTGTGGAAAGGAGAAAGAGTGGAAGGCCAGAGTGGGCCCGCCCCCTTTTTTCAATAATAGGGTGGGAGTTACACACATCATTTTAGCTCCCAATTCACTGGTGACGATGTGGTTGTGGCCATACCTAACATCAAGGGATTCTGGAGAACGTCATCACTAAGTGGCTGCTGGCCCAACTTCCAGACTGAACTCCATTCACACAGAAGCAGGACAGGCAGATTTGGGTGGATGAGCAGGTACCTTTGTCACATTGTGCTTTTTACATAACAATATACTTAGTTTGTTATTTAATGGAATTTTTTATTTTTTAACTGCTTTGTAATATTCTATGGTATGAGGAAATATATAGATTGTTTCAGCCATTTCATATTAATATTAGATTGTTTACACTCTCTATTGTAAACAATGTTATAACGAACATTCTTAGATGTATCTTTATAGAAATACATAAGTTTTGCCAAGGGATAATATCTTAGAAGTGGAATTTCTTGATCAAAAGGCATTTATATTTTAATATAATAAATGATATGATATAATATATATATTTCCAGGTTAACTTTAAAAAACTAAATCAATTTAGGGGCACCTGGGTGGCTTAGTCGGTTAAGCGTCCGACTTTCGCTTAGGTCATGATCTCGCGGTTCGTGGGTTCGAGCCCCACGTCGGGCTCTGTGCTGACTGCCAGCTCAGAGCCTGGAGCCAATTTCAGAGTCTGTGTCTCCCTCTCTCTCCTGACCCTCCCCTGCTCACGCTGTCTCTCTCTCTCCTAGAAATAAATTTAAAAATATTTAAAAAAAAAAACTAAATCAATTTAGATATCCACTACCTACAGTAACACCTCACTACTCACTCATTATCCACATCACTATCCAATACTAACAGGCAATGAGATGGATCTTAGAAGTAAAATTATCAGTTAAATAAATTTAACTCCTATAAACACCAAACTTTAAAAAGAAAATTACCCATACTAGGTGTTCAATAAACGTACCCTCCCTCCCAGTTTTCTCTCATTTCTAGGATCTGGGTGGTTAAGAGCTCAAGCTTCCACACTTACTAGTTTCATAGTGTTGGGCAATCTTCTTATTCTCTAGATGGCTCAGTTTGCTCATCTATAAAATAGGTATAATAATATTACCATAATACCTACTTCATGTGCTGGTATAATGTTTTTATGTGATATTGGTCTTCATTCCAGGAGAAACCTGGGATACATTTTAATTCCTATAATTCAGGTTGTGGAACTCTAGTGTGCTAGCTAAGTGCGATGTTGTTGTACTGTGTTTAATGTTGTAGAGAAGTCTGAGACTGCTAATTTCTAGTACCCCTCAATCTTCACCTCTCTCTGTAGATGGGCTTACTCTTTCTGTGAGGGTAGTTGGAGAAGCACTTCTTTATCCATATATATTTTTTCTCCTTTACATGGCATACTCTTTCAATCTGCAAATTCAGCTTTCCCCCCAACTGAGGGAATTTTTTCTTATATCTTTGAATATGTTCTTTTGTTTCATTCACTAGTTCAGAGACACCATAATCTGTAAATTTCTCACCAATATCTCAACTACAGGTCTACTATTTAATCTCTAAATACTTCATTCTTTCTTTCTTTGAATCCCCTGTGTTGATCTCAATCTCCCCCACCCTCCTACTAATTCAGTTTGAGGCCATATCTATTTAATTCTTTCATATTTCCAGCATATTGATTAGTTCTATATTTTTATAATTTTTCCTTAGTTCTGTTATTTTAATCTCCAATTTATTTCTTCAAATTGTAATCTTCCATCTTTGTGTGATCCTCTCATCTCACTTCTGATTTCCTATTTTCATTTTCTTCAGGTTCTAACTTCTGAGTCAAAGCATTTGTGGTATACATTTTCCACAAAACTGCATTTTTGATGTGTTTCTTAAATCTATGCTTCCATCCTGACATGTCTTCTTCCTACATGTTTTCTTTCTTCTTTCCTTTATACTTTCCTCTCTTCTTTCCTTCCCCTTTTGACTACAGCATTTGTGTATAGTTGCCATGCCATTTGTTTTCATTTTATTTCTTTTTGATATAAATATTTTCACCTGGATTTTTCTCTTTATCTAGATATATTGTGTAGGTCAATTTTCATTGACCCCTTCCTACTTTATTTGAGATCTCTGTTATCCCTGTTGTAACTGCTTTGTTACCACTTGGGTGGTAGGTAAAAGGGTAAGTTCAGATGGAGTTGTGGGTAGTGGTGTTCGTGGGAATGGTTTCTGCTCTTTTTCTATAACTTTGTTCATAGTTCAATGTGTGAGTTTATGACACCACTATTTGGGCATATCTTATTCTTTTGGGTGGGTAGTGGTAGGTTATGGATTATTATTGTAGAGACAATCTGCCCAGGTGTTTATTTTCCAGACTTGACTCAACTATTCCCAGCAGCCACTCTAACTCTTGTGCCAGATAGAGGAAGGGAAAAATAGACAAAATCCAAGGAATGTGGCCACTATGCTACTTCTCAGAAGTGGTGATCAGAGATGGAGGGCAGCTTCAACTGGGGCTTTCCATATGTCTCCTGCCCTCACTTTAGTGAATGGGTTTGTTTTATTTATTTTTTTCTTTTGTCTTACTTTCTGGTAAATCCCTCCACATTGTTTGAGATAATCAGCTCTGGTAGAATGCTGTGCAATCATTCTGCCTTTCCTCTCCCTTCCTACTCAGTAAGAAAAGCAAATAGCAGCACAGGCAGATTTTCTCTTGGTGGAGTATTGTTGCAGTGGTATGGAGATCCTTCCACTCTGAAGAAACTTTCAGACTCTCCTCTGGAGGCTGCCTACTCAGCCCCCTCAGTCCACTTCCCTTCTCATTCTGTGGTATTACACTCTCAGAATTTTTCCTCATACATCTTCCTCTCAGTAATGATTCTTTGAGGGAAGAAAAAAGGGCTATCAAGGGCGGGAGCTCTACATTTATTCCTAGTAAGTTTTGTTTGCTCAAACATTATTTTTAAGGATTATTATGTTTTCATATATTTGAGAGTTGGTGGTATATTTATAGTTGGGTGTTAAAATTTTTTGTTATTGTCACTTTTGTTGAGTTCAGTAGGAGGGTGGCTGGTTCTAGGATCCACCAGCTCTGGGATCACCCTTCAGACAGTCATCTTAGCAGGGCTCGAAGGCTTTGCTAGTTACTTTTTTTTGGTGGGGGAGGGGAGGCTCAACCTAGGTGACTTCTCTAGGTAAAAGCCCCTGGTATGGCTTCCACTTAATTATTAGATCTTGTATGATGCACTCAATCATATAGATATCTCAGGAGTCCAGTGCTTAATTATTTCTCTGCTGGGGGCAGACATTTGTTATTCATGTAGTGAATACATCAAGGTACAGTGAGGCCAAAGGCATCCTAGAGTTTACCATCTGTTACGTGGAAATGTCAGAAAGCAGTAACTGCCAGAACAGAGCCCAAGAGATGACAGGTTACTAAAAGAACATCTAGTCTAATCTTTTATCCAAAGAAGGATCACTAACTACCTCATTTATGACAGAAAGCCCACCAGACATTGCTGGGATACCTTGAGTGTCTGGAAACTCCTGAACACTGTTCTGTTATTGGAAAACTCAAAACACTTAAATATTATTTAACTTGAGCCAAACTATAACTCCTCTTCTCTCTGCATTGTCTCCCCTGGAGAAATTTCTAATTCACATGACTCCCAATTTTAGCTCCATTTAGATGGCTACCACAAGTATGCCTATAGTCCTGATCTCTAGCCTGGCCTACAATTCTGGAAAATGACCAAGCAGGTTGGAAATCTACTGCATCAAAACCCATGAGAGATGGTAGAACATGGATAACTATAAAGTCCTGCATGCAAATAGAAAGTAACCATTGTATGGGATGAAGATTCCTGATAGAGCTCTAGTAAAAGATTTGAGGCTTTTATTCCTAAATGTACTGTGAGCCCATAATAAGGCATAATGATTCTATGCTGCATGAATAACAAATGTCAATGCCAGGGGCATTTGCCAATATCTTCCTGAACTAAGAGCTTGTTAGGACACATCTGGGCCTCTGCTACAGCAACAACCAGAATGTGTGTGGGCAGGGGATGATATCTAGGAGCCTTGGTGCACAGTGTGTCACAATGAGCAGCTGGGAAACAAGGCTAGAGTTTGGAGAAGGAAAGCTTTAGAGAGGTACAAAAGCTGCCTTCAAACAGGAAAAAGATTTATGGGAAAGAGAATACTTGGTTTGTTTTTTCTGCTTTCAAAGCACAGCCCCAGGATAGTTTTATGAGATAACAAAAGTTTGTTCATTGGTTCTGTTGACTAGAAGGCACCAATTTCTGAGATCTGTAAAAGATCTAATGACTTTGCCCTGGAAAAACCCTGTTTCTATTTCTGCCTATGGGTATATGGAACCATTTCTAGGTGGGACACAAGCAAGTGAACCATTGAGTTCACTTGAGGAAGAATAATTGGGCAACAAACCTCCTGAGAAGCCTGCCAAAGAGAGGGGACTTTTCCAAACATTATAGCCAAAGAACAACCAGCTTCCAGTTGCTAGAAACCAACCTTGAAACCCAGACATGAGAGCCTGCTTGGTACTGTGGGGAGCAATGGGAAGAACTAGAATTTAAAGCAAATGAAATTGGTTTAAAATCTGATTAAGCCATTTACTAGTTTTGTGACATTAATTAGGAACCTTGCTGAGTCTTGGCTTACCTACCTATAAAATGAGATGATTAAATACTAGTTCATTGGTCCATTGTGCAAATAAAATTACAATTATAAAGCCCTTGCCATATAACTAGGTTCTTACAACAGAAGCAAGTTGCCAACAGTGCTACTGTGATTTCAGACATTTTATAAGTTAAGCACTTTTTTTTTTCCCCAGGGCTCCCTTCTGAACTCTCCTCGGGTATTGAGGAAGAAGAGTCAAAAAGTGGCTTGGATGTCATGCCCAATATTTCTGACATGCTGCTGCGCAAACTGCGGGTCCACAGGTCTCTCCCTGGAAGGTAAAATCAGGGCATGAGTTGCATAAGACCCTGTATTGCGTAGGCCCTGTGTTAGACTCTTGATAGGACACAGTGGAGCACCAGCCTTGATTTTTTGACCCCAGAAAGGTCAAAGTCTAATGGTCTAGACAGGTCTAATTCATCCAAAATAAAAATAATAATAAAAAGCCATGCACTTGTGGGGATGAGCACTGGGTGTTATGTGGAAACTAATTTGACAATAAACTATTTGTAAAAAAAAAAAAAAATAATAATAATAATAAAAAGCCATGTAAGGTGGTTCCAACTCAAAGAGCAGGTGGGTTTCATAGGCTAATGGCAGCAGAGGGTAGTGGACTTTGAGTCAGGAGACAGTTTCTTTTTTTTTTTTTTTAATGTTTTATTTATTTCTCAGAGAGAGAGGCAGTGTGAGCAGGGGAGGGTCAGAGAGAGAGGGAGATACAGAATCTGAAGCAGACTCCAGGCTCTGAGCTAGCTGTCAGCACAGAGCCCGACGTGGGGCTCGAACCCATGAACTGTGAGATCATGACCTGAGCCGAAGTCAGATGCTTAACCAACTAAGCCACCCAGGCGCCCCCAGGAGACATAGTTTCAATTCAAGATCTACCACTTACCCATAACTCAAAGGTTCTAGGTCTGATATCTGCATAGATAGAGATGTAGAACATTTGGAGTCACACAAGGATTGCTTGGGAAACTACCAGTTTCTTCCACATGTGGGGAGAAAGTGACTTCACTTACCAAGCCTCAACCTCCTCACTTATACAACAGAGGTCATAAGTGATCTGTCATTGGTAGGGTGCTGCGCTAGCTAAAAGAGACAGTGTGCAAGCAGGGACCTAAAGCCATGTCAGCGCCTGACACACTCTTGATAACTAGATTGAAAAACAAGGGCATTTTTTGGGATGAGCATTGGGTGTTTTTTGGAAACCAACTTGACAATAAACTATAAAAAAATAAAAATTAAATAAAAATCAAAATTACATAAATACATATTATGTAGTATAATCATAGTATTAAAGAATAACCCTATTTTGAAAAATAAGAAAAACAGTTTGGAGTATGAAGGAGAGAAGAGAGGGAAGCACTAAGCAATAGGAATTGGGTGGGTGCCTGCAATTGATGCATCCTGCCAAGCCCATGCAACCTGGAGACTAAACTGTTGTGGGAGTGCACTGGGAGGAAAGGCCATTAGGAGGAACATTCAGACATAACAGAACTCCCTGATTTGGGGGTAAATATGAAGGAAAAACAAGTTTTGCCCAGGGGTGTGATGTGTTCAAACTGCAAACCATCATTAACTAAAAGAGAGTCATCAGGATAATACTCGGAGGGACCTAGCAACTAAACCAGCATCAGGAACAGTGCCAGAAACAAGTCAGAAGCAGGCTGCATCCACAGCTGGAGGAGGGTGTGGCTTGGGCCAGTTCATCTCATGGAAGGCAGAGAGGGGCTGTCCAGAGGCAGGAAACTAAAGGAGAAGCACTCTGAGTGCACTGCAGGTTATAGAGTATGTTTACATGCTGTGTATCATTTGTTGTTTATGACAACCTAGTGAAGCAGAAAAGGAAGATTTTGTTTATCTTCAGTGAAGGAAAAGAGGCAAAGCAACATGCTAGCAAGTGACAGAGTCAGGAAATGAACTCAGCGTGGGCTAATTGCAGACCTAATGCCTTTCCATCTATACTACGGGCCTGTCACAATTACTAAAACAATAATTGATACTCTTGTCTGTAGTGAACAAGGCTGGAACTTGGCTTCTTTTTCCTCAGTAAAGTTGAAGATAATTAATATCATTAGATCACACCTCCAGCTAATTAAATTCCCCCAGCCTCCCCAGGAGAGGGAGACTGAACAGTTCTATTTTCCTTGAGTAAGTCAACAGCTACTAGCTACCAACCATTATTCTTAGAATAATTCAACCTTATTTTCATTGAATAAGATCAGCTTCTGAACGTGTGGCCAATGTCTCAGATTCCAAACTTCCTGCTCCATCCACCAAATCAGGCTCCCTGCTCCTGGCCTTAGTAGAGGCTGTTTGCAACTTGGGCCACTGGATGGGCCCAGAATTCTCTACCCCTGGTTTGGAGCTTGGGATAGATGGACAAACAGTCATGTAAGACATTACCCAAGAGAAGGAAGCCAGAATTTTAAGAATCATTCCTCCAGAAGAAAAATGGGGAAATTACACTTGAGTTTTAATATGAAGGAGTTAGTTTCATGATCTATGTGGGCTATGTGAATTGGAACTGGACCATAGCAAGAAGGAGCTCATGGAGTCAGCACGTTGAATGAATTCAGTAGAAAAAACAGGTCCCAAACCCAAACACATCGACATGGTCGATGGCTGATTAACAAAAGTGTGAAAAGGACATGTTATTGGGTCAAAAACCAGTAGGAGCAATAAACAGGAATAAACAGCAATAAACAGGAATTTAAGCGATAAACACTCATTGCCTGTTTTATGCCAGACATTAGAATGGAGAATAAGCAGACACAGTCCTTGTTCTCATGGCACTTACATCCTAGGTGGGGAGAGAAATAATATTTAAGTAACTAAACGAATGATTTCAGATAGCAAAGCTATCTGAAGAAGCTAAGAAGCTATCTGCTAAGAAGACCATGACATAGGCACATACAGAGAATGACAAAGGAATAGAACATTGAATAGAGGGTCAAGGAAGGCCCTTATGATAAAGTAATCATTAATCTGAGACAGGTAGATGACAAAATGAAGGCATCCATGCAAAGATTTTGGTGAAGACATTCTAGACAAAAAGCACAGTGATTTCAACAAACGGTGCTGGGATGACAGGATAGCCACATGCAAAAGAGTAAAGTTAAAATAACTTTAACCTCACACAATACAGAAAAATTAGCTCAAAATGAACCATAGGCCAAAATGTAAAAGCTAATGCTATCAAACAATTAGAAAAAAACATAAGAATAAATCTTCAATACATTGGTTAGTCCATGGTTTCTTACATATGACACTAAAAGCACAAGCATAAGAGAAAAAATAGATGAATAGTATTTCATCAAAGTTAAAAACTTTTATGATGCAAATAATATCATTAAGAAAGTGAAAAGACAACCCATAGAATGTGAGAAAATATTTGGAAATCATGTATTTCATAAGAGATTTGTTTACAGAATATATAAAGAACTCTAGGGGCACCTGGGTGGCTCAGTCGGTTAAGCATCCGACTTCGGCTCAGGTCATGATCTCACAGTTCATGGGTTCGAGCCCCGTGTTGGGCTCTGTGCTGACAGCTAGCTCAGAGCCTGGAGCCTGCTTTAGATTCTGTGTCTCCCTTTCTCTCTGACCCTCCCCTGCTCACGCTGTCTCTCTGTTTCTCTGTCTCTCTGCCTCTCTGTCTCTCTCTTCAGGAATTAAAAAAAAACAACACATTAAAAAAAGGAAAGAACTCTAATAACTCAAAAAAAGATAACCATTTTTTAATGTTTTTTTTTTTGAGAGAGACAGAGAGACAAGACAGAGAGTGAGCAGGGGAGGACAAGGAGGAGAGACACAGAATATGAAGCAGGCTCCAGGGTCTGAGCTGTCAGCACAGAGCCTGATTCAGGGCTTAAGCTCAAGAACCGTGAGATCATGACCTGAGCTGAAGTCAGACACTTAACCAACTGAGCCACCCAGGTGCCCCTAAAAGATACTATTTTTTTTAAAAAAGGCAAAGGATTTAAGTAGACATTTCTTCAAAGAATAAGTGCATGGAAAGATACTCAATGTCACTAATCTTTAGGGAAGATTAGGGAAATGAAAGTCAAAAAATTAATGAGATATCATTTCACATCTACTAGAATGCCTATAATAAAAAAGATGGACAATAACAAGTGTTAGTGAGGACATGAAGAAATTAGAGTCCTTAGTAAAATGGTGCAGCCCCTTTGGAATAACAGTTTGGCAGTTCTTTAAAAAGTTAAATATGGTGTTACCATATGGCCTAGCAATTCCACTCCTGGGTATATAACAAAAAGAAATAAAAATATGCATCTACACAAAAACTTACAAATGTTCAATAATAGCATTTTCATGATACTCTGAAAGTGGAAATAACCCAAATGTCCAGTGACTGATGAATAAATAAATAAAATGTGATATATCCATACAATGGTATATTATTCAGCCATAAAAGTGAAGTACTGATATATGTTATCATGCGGATGAACCTTGAAAATATTAAGCTGAGTGAAAGAAGCCAGTCATAAAAAGCCACATGTTGTATGATTCCATTTATATGAAATTTCCAGAATAGGGAAATCCATAGAGTAAGTAAGTAGATTAGTAATTGCCTACTAATTAGTGGGGGTGGGAATGGGGGTTGGTAAAGACAGAGAGTTGATTACAAATGGGTACATGGTTTCTTTTTGGAAGGATGAAGAAGTTCCAAAGTTGACTATAGTGATTGATGGCTGTATAATTCAATTCTATGAATATATTAAGAAGTACTGAATTTTAAATTTTGAAAGGGTAAATTTTGTGATAGATGGATTATATTTCAATAAAGCTATTATAAAAGACAGGGGGGAGAAAAAGGAAAGAGTAGTAAATGCTGGGGCCCCTGGGGCCACAATGAAGTGTGTCTGAGGAATAGATGGCCAATGGGTCTAGAAAATGAGAAGAGGAAAGTCTGGTAGGGACCGATTCACAGAAAACCTTTATTTTATTCTAAGGTCTATAAAGGGAGTTTGAATTCTGAGGTAGGCAATGCCACCCCCAGATAGTCTCCTTTATGTCACTTGCTGGGCTTTGTCTTCTTTGGAGGCCCAATGTTCTGTCCCCTAGCTGTCTATACTAGTTCATAAGACAGCTCTCTGCATGAGGGGCTGGTCATGTCTTGTGGCTTCTTAAATTTGAATCACACCTCCACGAGTCCTCAGGGCTTTATATATTTAAAAAAAAATTGTGTTCTATAGCAAAAAAGCAGAAAGTAAATTATCAAAATAGATGAGTTTGGTTAATAATGAAAATACGTATATTTCACAAACTATGCAAATAAAGCCAGGAGTCAAAGGCAAGCTCAGTGAGTTTTGATAAATTTGTTTAGCAATATGTGCTCTATATGACAATCAAGATTATGTTGGCTGGCCCACAGAGGAAAGGACTTGATGGGTGGGGTTGTGACAAGCATTGTAAGCATCAAACATCTTTGTAGTTGTTTGTCCCATGTTCTGTACTCTGCTGACTTGATGGCCATGGGGTCTTGTTGCCTCATCCTCACAGGAAGTCTCTCACAGTCCTTTGTCAGGGGTGAGAACCAGCCCCTTGCAGAGATAACTGACCCCTACCTTTGCTCTTGGGGTCCTTCCACACACGTCAAAGGGAGGAAGCTGTGTTTCCTGAGAATCTTATCGATGGCATGCTCTGTTGCCAAGTCTTGTGATGCTGGTAGGACCCCTCCCAGTGCTCCCAGCCCAGCACAGGAAAGGGCCCGTGCATTATTTACATTGTCTGAGTTTCAGAACAGGACTAGCTTAGTCACCAGCAAGAGAAGCAGCAGCAGAGTGAGTGTGCAGATAAAAGGATGGCTAACTGTGGGAACCCCACACGAAGAGAAACCTCGCAGAAAGACACCTCTGTGCTGTGCTGGCTGGGACTTTCTTGCCTGGTCTCTAATCCCACTCATCAGAGGAGGTTCTCACTATAGAGAGGAACTCTGGCCACTCTTTCTTACCTTGTATTCTCTGGCCCACCTGCACTCTCGTCACAACCCTCAGAGGCAGGAGGAGGGTCAGGCTTTGCACACCTGAGCAGCAACCCCAAAATTATAAGGCTATTCAGATGTGTACAGTTTATAAAGTACATAGCACATGTATTTTCATACCAAGTCCTCACAAGTCTGTGAGTTAGTCATAAGAATAGCTAAATCTCCTGAGTGCCTACTCAGTGTGGATATCATGTATATACAAACATGTACACATACACACATATATACATTTATACATATACATGTGTGGATGCCATACATATGTGAATATATACACACATACATTTATACACACATACATACATTATGTATGTATATACATTTATTCCTTAGAATACGCCTGCAAAGTAGATATTCCCATTTTACAAATGAGCAAGCTTAAATAACTTTTCCAAAGTCACAGACAGTTGAGGCGCTATTGGAAGACTGATCCCAGGATCTAATATTTTCCACCACATCGCTGTAGGAGTCAATGTCTAGGAAATATCTCATCACTATAAACCTCAAACAAAGGGTACCCTGCATCTTTCCCATCTCACCAATTCTTCTTACTTCATTTCTGGAAATACATAGTCTGCTGGTTGTTCAAAGTCACTTTTGGTTTATTTCATAGGTTGGACATAGTTCATTTGCATGTCTTTTCTTTTTCACAGTGCCCCTCCGCTCACTGAAAAGGAAGTTGAGGTAAGTGATTCCAGTGCTTTATGAAATTTAGTGTCAGGGCTTGATGGGATTTATTGAAACATTCCCTCTGTAGCCCCTACCCCTGACAATTTGACACAAAAATGAGAATGCATGACTGTCGGGTAATACGGACATTGAAATCAGCCCTACTGAACTGCTGAGACTCCCACCCCAGGTAGGGAATATTTTGGCAAATTTGGTCAGAGATAAGAATGTACCTGGAAATTCCACATTTCTTCAAGGATGGTTTATGCTCTTTAAAAGTATGACTTAGATGGGGCACCTGGGTGGCTCAGTCAGTTAAGCATCCGACTTCGGCTCAGGTCATGATCTCACAGTTCGTGGGTTCGAGCCCCACATCGGGCTCTGTGCTGACAGCTCAGAGCCTGGGGCCTGCTTCAGATTCTGTGTCTCCGTCTCTCTCTGACCCTCCCCTGCTCACACTGTCTCTCTTTCTCTCTCTCTCAGAAATAAATAAAACATTTAAAAAAATTTTTTTAAGTATTACTTAGATACACAAAGTTAGCTGGGAGGTGGCAGAACGGAGTCAAATTTATTTCAAAATTATTAACAGATAGTCAGATTTCAAGTTTTAAACTTTGGTCCAGAGGAATAAGGCATTTCCCTTGTGAGGATTCTAGACATAAGGAAACTTGCCCAGCCATGGTGGGAGGCTGTGCTGTCAGCTCTCCAGCCTTCCCCGATTCTTCCATTACTCCCCTTGGGACTTCCATGTCTCTGTAGATATGCTATCCCAATGGGTTGATGAGTGAGCTGAGAGGAATTTGTCTGCATTTCATTGTGAGGAAGGGGTAAATGGAAAAAGAGAGCACATCCCAGGTGAGGTGGTAGGGACCTCTGATGCCAGCACTAGTTTCCAAGACAATTACATTGGAACAGATAGAAGGAAGGGAGCAAAAACATGGGTGACTCCAGAATCTCTACACTCACAGGTTAGGAGGATAGGTTTTATAGTATTTATAGAATGGTTTGCCACTGATAATAAGAAAATGAACACACCCTTCCTGAGACCCAGTGGGCTGGATAAGCAGAGGAAGACAGACAATGTGAAATATCTGCCATAGATACTAGCAATTACCTTGCACACAGACATTGTTCATCACACACTCCTATCCATCCTTTCAGCCTATCCTCCAGTCAGCTCAGAGTAACAGATAGAGCAGGAATTAGAAGAAAGGAGGAAATCAAGTGATGAAATAACTTACCCAAGGTCCCAGACCCAGCACTTAGTAGAATTAACACTGGTACCCAAATATTCCAACTGAATTCAGGACTCTTTATATCACACTTCAATGAAGGGGAAAAACCCAGGTATAGAAAACTAAACATTAAGCATGACTGGACTGAGGTTTGGGTTGCACAGAGAATCCCCACCCACTGACATTGGTGAAGACAGGCTGTGGGTGGTTTGTTTAATGGCTGACTTCTGTACTCAGATGTATGCTGACACAATCAGTGCTTGGTATGGTGAAAGTAGCACGGGTTTTGAAATCAAATAGTTTAAGGTTGAATCCTGGCTCTATTACTTGTGTCACCTTGAACAAGTTAATCACCTCTCTGGTCTCAGTCTCTTTACCCATTGAATGGACATAACAGTTCCTATTGCAAAGGCTTTTTGTGGTGCTAAATGAGCCAAGGTATGCAGAACTCACAGCAGTGCTAGCATATAGTAGATGCCCAATGAGGAGTAGCTTTCAATAGTGCCATCGTTGTTGTCATTGGGTCAGTTCAAGGCCTTCAATTCTCTGTATGGAGATGTCTACCCACCATGGGCCATATCATATGAACTTCAGAAGCTCAGACAGAGTTAGCTTACCCCAAGGGTATAAATCTGCTATCTCTTGACTCAGGGCAAATGAAGGCCATGGCTTCCTGTATAGTCCATCTGTCTATTTCTCCTCCTCAGTAGTTTCCTATTATACAGGAATTTTGTGTTTGCTCAAAGTACCTTGCAAAGTTTCATTCATGCATCCTGCATTTTTGGCATGAAATATTTGTTCCAGAACACTTTTCCTACCAGAATCATACCTGGCCTTATTTAATCTCCTGGCACCTTCTTAAAGCTACTTTCCACATAGGATTTGTAAAACTCAGGCAAGATGCTGGTTGAAGTTTGCCTTAAGTAAACATGTCTTACATTTTAAATACAGTTTCTTTAAATACAGTGGCTCTATGCAAAACTTCCAAAATGGACATCCAATAAATCCTACTATTTATCCAAATTGCTTACACAATCAGCTGAGTTTACCTAAACCTAAATAAATACAGGATATTATTTTCTTGAAATTCAGGAAAAAGCAAAGTGTTATTCTCTTATTTTTCAGTAAAATCTGTTTGGTCTTCTGGTCCTGGAAAGGACTTAGCATGGACCTCAGGTTATTATTTCTTTTGTGCAGTTTACTGTGAAGGAGTGTTTCACGTATACATGGCTGCTTTAGTGACTGGTTCCAGGAGCTGCTGTAAAATGCTTGTGCAAGAAACAGACCTGTGACTTTATTCCCTGTAATAACTCCTCCTAGTGCTTCTCCCACACTCTTGTTCCCAACAGAACGTGTTTGTACAACTGTCCTTGGCCTTTAGAAATGACAGCTACACTCTGGAATCTAGAATTAACCAGGCTGAAAGGGAACGCAACCTGACTGAAGAGAACACAGAGAAGGAACTGGAAAACTTCAAAGCTTCCATTACGGTAATTATAGAGCCTGATGGGAGAATCCTTAGAGGAGGGACTGTCTACTAGGGCTATGCCAGGCGTCCTGCTTTTCTCAGTCACCAAGTAGAGTATTCTGACATGAGAAATCAGGCCAAGGCTCTGAGCCAGATAGAGTCTTTCTCAGAGAGCTGAGAGGAACTGAGGCAGAGAGCTAAAGGCCTGTTTACCTCAGGGCTGTGGGTAAGGCCTCTGAACTCTTAGCAGCTTCTCAGGAGAAGTCTAGGTGACCTGGGACGACAAAGGGAGCATCTTGGGGACTAGAGATCTGGATGTGATTCCCTTCTTTCAGGCTAGCCACATATAGAGTATCTACACTGGGATTCTCCAATCCCCAGAAGAAGGTGTAGTCCTAGCCTTGCAGAGGCCACTCCTTTCAGCCGGCATGGGGAACAGGGTTCATTGTGACAGCTCAAGTCAAGTCTTGGTATGTGAGGACCCCAAGTGATGTTCCTTCTCACTTCCCAGTCCTCAGCTTCACTATGGCACCACTGTGAGCACCGGGAGACCTACCAGAAACTGCTGGAAGATATTGCGGTCCTGCACCGCTTGGCTGCCCGCCTTTCCAGCAGAGCTGAGATGGTGGGGGCTGTCCGCCAGGTAAGCCTCTCCAGCTTCCAGCCCTCTGACTAGCTCTGCTCTGTCCACAGTAACTAGAACAATATTGTAAGCAGTGACCATAATAGATACCAGTTATCAATGGCTTACTCTGTGCCAGACATCTGTACATTACTATGTTTTACTAAGAGTATTTTTGGTGGACCACTAAACCCTTGAGTTGTTCCTTGGTAAAAGCTTTCTGTGAACATGTAAGTAAGGGAACTGCTGCATACTACCATCCTTTCTTGGATATTTCTAATACGTATTGGTACCATCAAGGCTTTAAGAAAGCCTATACTGAAGTAGCCTGTTTAATTTTTACCTGTGTGTTTCCCTAATGTATTTGGCTGAAGAACCACAAAATACCTATTTTCTCATAAAATATCTATTCAACTCCCGTGGAACTAGTATTTGGCAAACATGCTTTAGGAAAAACTTCTTTGTTTCATTTAAGCCTCCCAATAACCCTGTAAATATCCTTTCCCCACCAATGAAGATATGAAGCTTCAGAAAGGTAACAACACCAGTGAATGGCAGAGCTGGAATGCAAGCCAAGATCTGGCTCCCTCTCAGCCACTTTGAAGTCCTAAAGCACATATAGGGCACTGCCCTGGTCCAGGATGGTGTTGTGGGATCCAACTGCCTGAGGCCTTATCTTGGCTACACCAGGATTCACTGTGTGATCTCAGGCCAGATACTGAGCTCTCTGTGTTCCAACTTCTCCAACCAATGAGGATGATGACAGTATCTGCCACATAGGGTTACTGTAATACTTGCAAAGCACCTAGTTTCTAGTACACTGTTTCTAGGACAATGCTCCCCTGTCCTGATACATTGGTTGCATTAGTAGGGTGTTCCTAGCATAGAGCCCACAGCAGTCCTTATAGAATGAAGGAAGGATAAGCCAGTGGGCTGCCCCACCCCTGTGTTCTTCCGGGGATAGGACACCTGACTCAGCAGCTCACTCAGGAAGTTATTCTGGCTGGGGAAAGCAACAAAGGGAGAGCTCAAGGGAAGTGGCTGGTCCCAGCTCCTGGCTTCAGGGAACTTTTCCAGGGAATACTCACTGAGTATGTCCTGCTGTGGCCAGCAGGCCCTGGGCTAGGCTCACTGAGGGATCCGAGGAGGATAAGCAAGGGAAACTCTTTCTCATTCTGTACAGCCCTCTCAAACGTGTTCTTGGCCCATGTGCTGCTAATGGCAGTCCCCAGCCTTCTCCACATGGCTTTCCCACCCCTAACTTGCATGTCTTCCATGTCGGTCCTCATCTTTCACTCTGGTCCCACCAGACTGGTCCTGGCACTTGTCCTCTCTTTCCTAGTTGTATTCACTGCCACCAGTCTCACCCCCGCAGTCTAGGTTCCACTGGTGAGCTATGTCACTCCCTCACCATAAGACATTTGATGGCTCTTTTCCTTCAGAAAAAGCCCAAATTCCTTAGTCTTGCATTCCAGATCCTTCACAACCCAGCCCTAACTACCCTTTCTTGTTGAAAACAAACCCAATTGCTTGCAGATTTCTATGTAAGTAGGATGGCCTGTACTCTGCTTGTTTTCCAGGCAATCCTGACATGTACCTACTGTCCCAGCATATTTCTTTAAGTTTTTTTTAAAGTAGGCTCCACCCCTAACATGGAACTTGAACTCACAATCTCGAGATCGAGAGTTGCATACTCTACCAACTGAGCCCAACATAATTCGTAATAGCACCCTTTTCACTCTGCAAAGACTTCTGTCTGAGGGATAGATCCTCACCTAGGTACAAGCCCTGTACCTGATCTCCTGCCTCTGAACCTTTATTCTTGGAGTCCCTTGGCCCGAATCTTTTTGTCCCTCCTACCTATGTCTATATGCCCAGATGCTGCCCACACCCTACATCCACTTCACTCTACCTCCAGGAAGACCCCCTGACCCATTCTTTCCATAGAGAGGACTTTTCCACCTCTCATCTCCTTAGGATTGTGGCTGTGCTTGTTCTTGTCCTCCCTGAGTGCAAGTGCCTAAATCTGCCTCTCAGCTCACGTCACAGACAGCAAAATCTTACAGGGCAGAGTCACATCTAAGATTGGTCCCTGTATCTGTTTGATTGTCCCAGCCCAGAGCCTAGCTCAGAGAAAGCAAATGCCAACAAGCCTTTCCTCCAACTTCCTTGTGTGCTCATGCTCTCCTTCCCTGCAGGAAAAACGCATGTCAAAGGCAACAGAGGTAATGATGCAGTATGTGGAGAATCTGAAGAGGACATATGAGAAGGACCATGCAGAGCTCATGGAGTTTAAAAAACTTGCAAATCAGAATTCAAGCCGCAGCTGTGGCCCATCTGGTAAGAAACTGGGCTCTTACCCCATCTTGGCCTTGCAGTGTGGGTCCCTGATAGCTCTAGGCCAGGATCACATCTATAAGTACAGCCCAAGGACATGCTTCTAGTTGAATAAGGTTCATTTTCCCTGTCCAGTGCTGCCTATAGGGGCCTCACAGCAGCTGCTCCAGTGAGCCTAGAGGCCTGGAACCAGAAAATAGGAGTCCCAAAGCAACTCCTGACACAATTAACCACAGCAGTTGACCACTGATGTGAAGCCCACAGGCTGTGAGAGCTCACTCTAATTTATGAGAATGACAGACCTCAGACCCTGTAGTTTTTGTGCTTTGGGCCCAACACATACAAAGGAATTTGAGCTTTATCCTAGAAAGCGATAGGGATCAACCAAAGATATTAGTCAGGGAAATGACATGATCACTTATGGTGTTCAGAACATTCCCTCTGATTATAGTGTGGCAGTTACATTACTGGGGTAGACCCAGAGACAGGGAAACCCACAAAACTGCTATTGCAATAGTCCAGGTAAGGGATGAGTCTGGGCAGTGGGGGTGGCATGAGGGCCTGGCTAAAGGAGATACTATTGAGATAAATAGCATATTTATGGGCAAGTATTTCAAAGAAATACTCTTTTTTTTAAAAATGTTCTATACAATTGCTATAGGAGCACAGAGGTGTTTCTGCTTGAAGGAATCAAGGAAAGTTTTATAGAAGGACAGTATCTGGCCAGTGTTTCAAAGTAAAAATAGTAGTTCTCTAGGCAAGATGGGGAGATATCTTCCAGGTAGAGGAAACAGCATGTGCAGAGATGTAGGGCTGGGATGGAAAGACCACGAAACAAAAGAGGTAAATGTGGTTGGAGTGTGATGATGACAGGTTCAAGGTAAGACTTGGTAGGCCAGGGCCACATGCCAGGCCATGCTAATAATTTGGGCCTTTGTCCTTAAGGCAATGAGGAGGCACTGGTGAGTTTATGGAATGTCAGATTCTATTTTTAGAAGATTTCTCTGACTTCAGAGTGGGCAATACATTAGGAGCATACAGACACTGATGTCTAAAGAGACAATTTAGAAAGCACTGGCAGCAGTCCAAGACGAGGAGGACAGTGACTTGGACCAGGATCTCTGCTTGGGAGCTGTCAGGGTTTGGGCTCTGGTTGATGAGGATGGGGCTAGCAGAAGAAAACAAACCTTTTAGTGACAGGAATCCCTTTGGAATGCAAACATCCGGGTTACCAAGAGCAGGAGGAGGGAAAGTATAACAGATGGAGAAACCTTTATAAACAGGAGGTTTCACAAGTTTCCTGGGGAATATCAGTGACACTTTCCAGAGTCCAAAAGCAGTATACACATGCTCCAGACTGTCTGCTTTCGATCTTGACAGCAAACTACTGACCCACAAGCATCTGGGCTTATAGCAAACTGCTCTCTGTCAGTGTTGGGAGTTGGGGAAGTTGCCACCAAAGAAATTCCAATATATGGGTTCTTGCATTATTGTCCTGGAAGGTGAAAGGTCTCCTGTAAACTGCTTTATCCAGGATTTATAGAATGAGCAGTTACACATTCATTCATCCTAAAGATATTTACTGAGCACCTTTGATGTGCCCCCACATGATACTGAAATATAGAAATAAAGGGAGATGGTAGCTGAGTCTCAAATGGTGAATAAGTGTTTTTCAGACATTTGTTCCCACTCCATTGTTTTTCAGCCTGGGCTGGGGTAGAGGAGCCAGCATCCACCTAACAGGTGTGTTTATTGGATACTCTATGACCATTCCCTAATAATATTTGCTTTTAAGTCTTTACATGACTACTGGCAATCTTTGTATATGTCTGAGACTCTGAAGACTACAGTGAAATAAAAATATCTCTGATTTAAAGAAAGGTGCTATGCATTAAAAAAATAACATTAGTTATTTTTTTCTGAATATGAAACATGGTGATTGTCTACATTTTGAATTATTTCCTTAAGATGGATTTATGGAAGTATAAATACTAGCTTGGGGGAAAGAAGACTTTATAAGGCTCTTCATGCAAACTCTTTTCAAACAACCCATTGATATTTCCATGTAACGAGTAACAATAATGCTCAGTTCATTGTGCCATTGACATTCTTGTCCTTTCCTTTAAAAATATTTTTGACTTTGATGGTCCAAGATTATGTCTCATCTCATAGTCTGAATTTGTATTTTTGACCTTTTCAAATGTTTTTTGGACATTTGTATTTCTACTTTTGTAAATCATCTAATTATTTCTTTTGCCTACTTATAAGATTAGTATTTAATTAATTTATATGAATTCTTCAATATATAAAAAAATGTTTTCTGGTTCTGCTATTTTGGTTGACTGAAAAACTTGAAACCTCCTTGACCACAAGTGCTTAGACATTTCTGCTGGATAAAATAAAGCAAACATTAGTCTAAAAGAATAGCTGAATCCACAGGAAAAGAAGTGGAAATACTCAGATACAAGAAAAGAAAAGAGAACTGAAAACTGCAGCTTCCTTGGGTACAAGAGTCAGCTTCAATCATCTCAGTGCTGGGCTTTTGCACTTGAATGCAATCTGAGATGAAGTCTTAGACACTCATGACAGAGTTCACTATGAGACTCCCATAGAAAATTAAAATTTTCCAAGAACTGCATCTTTAGACAGAACTTGAACAAGAAAAAACACTCCCCAAACAGCAGAGACACAAATTAAGGAAGTCTGTTTCAACCTGTAGTAGGAAATGTATTTCATTCTGTAGTAGGAAAAAATACTTTCTCCTTTCTCGTAGGAAAAGTGTATGCCATGACAGAAGTTGTGATGCAATATGCAAAGAATCTGAAAAGAACATCACAGTGATTCCTGTAGGGACACTGTCAGAAACAAACATAAAACCACCCTGGAGATGCACACCCTTCACCCTAGACATACAAGATTCCTCTCACTGAAACCTCACTGAAGATAATTTTACAGTATAGAATTATAAAACACATAAGAAAACCATCCACCTTGAACAAGAATCATCAGACACACTAAACAACAGTATTATATCCTAAGGATTGCAGAAAATAAAACAATCTGATAATTTTTAAAAGATATGTTTAAAATTATTAGAGGCATCAAAAAATGAATCAGAAACATGAGAATAAATTACAATTATCAAGAAAAGAATAAAATAATAAAAATTTTAAAAAGCACTCCTAGAAATTAGGAAATGAGGAATAGAAATTAAAAACTCAGTAGATTAGATATAGTAGGTACTGCCGTGGAGGTGGTTACTATAGTGGAGATGCCAGATCTTCTCCTTTCGGGCACACCTCTCCCAAGTTAGGTGATGTCTTGTTAGGTGAATGGCATGTGATCTGGCAAATAAATTGTGAGCAGAAGGATATGTGTCACCTTTGAGCTGAGGCCTTTAAGAAACTACTGTGTAATTTGTCCTATATTTCTTCTTCTTCACATGACAACCACCACTGTTTCAGAATAGTAGAAGATCCATTAGTCTGAATCCACAGTGAGGATATGCACAGCGGAGCCTGCTGCCAACTCTGAAGCAAATGGACATAAATAAATAAAGCTTTATTGTTATAAGCCGCTAAGACTTGGGGGTTGTTTATTATGGTAGCATAACCAAGTTTACCGGTGCAACATTTAAATCAGATTGGCCACAGTTGAGGACAAAGATTAGTTAACTGAATAAAGATTTGAGAAAGTTACCCAAAATGCAGTTCAGAGGGATAAGTTACTTAAAAATATGAAAGAAGGCAGACAGCCTCTCCTCTGCTATCCTGCCCATGGTTCCTTTGTAGTATATTCAATAAACTTCTATCTCCTTTAAAAAATACTAAAGAAATGTTAAAAGATATTATAAAATATGGGATACAGAGTATAAAATGATAACGTTCCAAATATATTTATTATCAGATCCACAAGAAGAGAATGGGAGAGAGAAAGTATGCAAAAAGATTTTCCAGAATCTGAGAATTTTTCAGAACTAAAGAAAGACACGTACCATTGGATTAAGAAAGCACAGTGAATTCAAAGTAGAAGAGATAAAAACAGATAGACGATGAAGTAAAAATTTTAAAACTAACCAGAGAGAGAAGACAGAGGATTTACAAAAGATGGATAAATCTGACTAGCAATGGTGACACCAAAAGACAATGAAGTAAAAGTCTCCAAGGAGCTGACAGAAATAACTGTCCACCTAGAGAAAACAGGGCCACATAAACTATATGCTATCTTACAGGCCTGGTAAGATATTTTGAGACAACTCAGAAAGTTTACCTCTTACAGACCCTTGCCAAAAGAACAACTAATCGGTGTGCTTAGGAAAGGATAAAATCGAGACCAAAAGAAAGGAGTAGGATGCAAGAAGTAATGGTGATCAGACATTTGTGAATGTGGGTAAATCTAAACAAGCATTCAATGTAGAAAACAATAATAATAATAATATGGAACTACAAAAACAAAGTGAAACAAAACTACTGAAAAGCAATAATTTGAAATTTGAGGGAGTTGTTGTTTTAAGGTCTAATTAGGAAAAGAATAGAAATCATGATTAATTTAAAATTTTAACGTCATGTAATATGAGGGTGCCTGGGTGGCTCAGTCAGTGAAGCATCTGACTCTTGATTTTGGCTTAGGTCATGATCCTAGGATCATGGGATTGATCCCCACATCAGGCTCTGTGCTGTGCATGGAGTCTGCTTAAGATTCTCTCTCTCCTGTCCCTCTCCAACACTCATGCTCTCTCTCTCTTAAGTAAGTAAGTAAATAAATAAATAAAGTCACATAATATGTTATAAATTTAAGTGGGCACACTAAAGATTAGAACTAAAATGCATAACTTCTATACCAACGTGCAGGCTGGGAGGGGTGGTAAGGAAAAAAAATCAATGAAGTGAGGTAAAGAGAAAAACGGGGAAAAATTAGCTATGTGCTTTTTAAGAGACACACCTAAAATACATGGATATGAGGGATAAACAGATATACAAACTAGATGATATTGGTCAAACTGAAACTGAATTGAGCTTTCAAAAACCTTTCTCTGCACATATTGGTGTTTTCTGGTGACAGTAATATCCAGATGTGGTGAAAAATATTTTATGTAAATTATATCATTTAATGTATGTACTAAGGATATGAAAATCTGGGATGCTGGTTTCCTTTGTTCCAAATTATTTTATAGATGACTTATTAAAACTAGTTTGTCAACAAGTTTCCATTCTTTACTGACACCACACCTTCCTTGCTCATAATTTCCCTGACTGCACGTCCCTTAAATGAAGAAGAAATGACCCAAAAGCCTTGGTATTGCTATGAGTGGTTTTTCACATATTTACCAGTTCACTACCAGAGACTGTGCAGTGGTGTCAGGTGGATATCAGAAGTCCAAGATGGGCTTCTCATGAATGCAGAGGAATTAGGGTAAAAATTCTGTCTAGAAAAGTCCCACTCTATAGATAATTGTCTCAGGGTGGTGTCATATTCAGTGTTTCCAACACCTAGGCTCTTAAGATATCCCTTGAGGGCGAGTTCTGACCAATTAATATCTCAGCTTAGTTTCTGGCTATCCATTTTCTACTGGAGCCTACTCTGAAAACTTACCTGAGTTCTCTTCTCTGTTCCTTCTTGCTGCAGAAGATGGGGTCCCTCGAACAGCGCGGTCCATGTCCCTCACACTGGGAAAGGTATGCATGTTCAAGGAATACCAGGGCTCCCAAGGGGATTACAACAGAAGTTTCCACAGTCACCCAGAAAGTCATTTATGCTTGGATCTACAGGTGCCAGAGAACCTCTGGACAGGGTCTCTAATTCAGCTTACCACACTTGCTAGATCATCCTTCAACCTTCTCTTGCTCATGGTTTCCCTGACTGTACCATCCCCCAAAGGAATATGAAATGATGAATAAACCTTGGTATTTCTATCCTTTTTATGCACTATTGGGGTGTTACCCAGACTGGGGGTCATTTCCTTTCCATTTCTTCAGGATATAATCTTAAATAAGAACATGTTGAGAAATCACTCACCACTAACAGAAAACTTGGGTCAACTTTGGCCACTCTCCACACCAACCCCCAACACCATAACCAACCCAAAGCCAAAATATCCAGTGAATGTAATTGCAGCATTAGGAACTAGTAGGCATTTTCCAGGCCTTTCGAACTGTGGATGCTGCTCCCTCCATGACAGTGGGCCTGGTCACTTCTCTTCCCACAGAACATGCCCCGCCGGAGGGTCAGTGTTGCAGTGGTTCCCAAGTTTAATGCCCTGAACATGCCTGGCCAATCTTCCAGCGCATCACCCATCCCCTCCTTACCAGCCCTGGTGAGTATAATGATGCCTACCTCCCAGCCTCTTCAACCTCTCCCTCAGGGTCACTACTATGTGGAGTGGCCTAGGTGGGGCAGGATCAAAAAGGAGAGGAAATTCCCAGCACAGATTCTAGAGTATGGACTCAAAAAGCCAGTATAGACCAAGCCCCATGTCTTCCACTGCCCTGAGTAGAAGACTCGGTACTCTTTGAGCAAGGTGCAGGCAGCTCAAAGAGTATTCTTTGCAAATGATATTTCTTTCCATGTTTGAGCCACAATCCTCTAAGGTGGGTATGGTGTTTTTCTTCCATTCTGCAATGGGTTTAAATACCTGAAGGTTGTATTGTGTAGTAAGTGTTAGGGCTGAGCTTTTAACCCTAGGCTTTCTGATTCCAGGGCCTGAGTTCTTAAACCCAGTGTCATTCTGCATCAATTCACTGCAGCACTAAGAAATGAAACTACTGTAATGTCATTTAGTAAGAGATTGATTAAATATACATAGCCCTAAAAGGGGTTCTTATGCAGTGAAAAATAACATGAAAAATGTCCATAATTTATTATTAATAAAAAGGAATTTAAAAACAGTATATATAGTAGAATTCCATTTTGTAGGGTATTTTTTAAAAGAAGTATATTTTCTATGTGTAGACATGGCGAATTATGGAAGAATGTATGTAAAACTATTAATAATTATTATCTCTGGGTAATGATAAAACCACAGGTGCTTTTTATTTTTTTCTTGATGCCTTTTTATATTTCTATAATAAGAATCTATTGCTACTAATCAGGAAAAAATTCATTTCAGTTGTTTTAAACATACACAGTTCCTTTATAACAAAATATTTTCTACATCCAGGCTTTTGTGGATTTGATTATTATTATCTAAAACTCTTCTAATTCTTTCTTCAGTTGCTTCTCTATTCTGTGTCCATGACTAGCACTACTGTATAAGGGAACAATCGGATTGTGTAAGCAATAGGTGAAATAGATTTGAGCTCTGTTAGGCCAAGAGGTAGCAGTAGCTTCTTTCAGCTCTTTTTTAGTCATCTATGAAATTAACCTAAACTCCCATATCACCCACTAAAACAAAGCAACCTAAAAAAAATTTTTTTTAAAGAAGCTTAGAGAAGGCCAGTTAGTATGTTTAATAGAACCTGTTTCTGGTACTATACTAAATGTAAGAATATATTTTCTAAACATACAGTTGACTCGTGAACAATGCAGGGGTTAGGAACACCTACCTCCATGCAGTTGAAAACCCGTATATAACTTCTGATCCCCCCCCAAAACTACTGATGATCAGAAGCCATAATTACCAATAACATAAAAAGTCAATTAGCACATATTCTGCATGTTATATGTATTATATACTGTATTCTTATAATAAAGTGAGCTAGAGAAAAGAAAATGTTAAGAAAATCATAAGGAAGAGAAAATACATTTATGTTACTGTACTTTATTTATAGAAAAAAAATCTGAATAAGTGGACCTGTGTAGTTCAAACCCATGTTGTTTAAGGGTCAACTGCATATTCCTTTAGGCTAAAAGTTGGCAACCAGGGATATGCATTAAAATCACACAAGGTACTTCTAAAACATTGCCCAGTCCTCACCCCAAGATTCTGAATTGGATCAGTACTTTAAAAATCTCCCCCAGGTGATTCTAAGGTACAGCCAGAATTGAAAACCATTTCTTAAACCAAATCCATTAAAACAAAACTGTGGTAGTCCTAGGGAATTTATTATAAAGACATTTCTGATGGCTTGGGGTTTTAGTAATGACAGGGATCTCTTGAGGATTGTGCTTGGAGCTATATCTCCAGGGCAGTAATGGGCCTGTGTTTGTAGGAGGCCTGCTGGTTTTTAGTCCAAGTCAGTAAACAATGGACTAAGAAGAACTGATGGCTCCCCTCCCAAAGGGAGCCTCAAGATGTAAATTATTCACTCACGGAAACTTGGAAGAGGGAAAGGAAAAGGTGCAAGTTGCATGGGCCTCAGGGGGCACTAAGGAATGGAGCCCAATGGCTGGGCTTGATGCAGATTAGAAAGCAGGGGGAAAGAGGTAGGATGGAAGCATCCCCTTCCCAGCTTTATCAGAGACCTAGCACCTCTAGCTTTTTCCTTCCTAGCTGATCTTCAATTGCCTGTCTCCTATTTTTCATTCAGTCAGAATCACCCAATGGGAAAGGCAACCTACCTGTCACTTCAGCACTGCCTGCACTTTTGGAAAAGTAAGTTTGTTGATTTTCCTCTTAACTTTGGGGATCTTTGAGGAAATTTTCCCTAACTCACCTTTCCTCCTATACTTTACTCCCAAAATATGATGAAAAGAAAATTAAGTTTTGAGGGAACTGAGTGGCACTCTGAGACCCACAGAGATGTCAGAGTCAGTTTGCAATTTGGACCAGGAAGATGCTATAGCTGAGTCCAAGTGTACCTCAATCTCAGAAGAGCCCAGAGGAGATGTAAACCTTCTCTTTTGGTTAGAATTCTTTGGGCTGCAGATACAAGAAAGCCCCAACTCAAAGGGGCTTTAAAAGTAAGTCCAGAGATAGATCTTTTCCAGGTGCGGTACAGCAGGGCCCCTCTCAGCCTCTACAATTTCCTTGCTTCTGCTCACTTTGTATGTTGACTTCATCAGCAAGCTTGTGGCAATACTTATTTTCAGGTATTCCATCCAGACATGAAATATTTAGAACAGGACTATCTGTCCTCATGCTTCTTTTTTATGAACAAACCCAGAAACTTTTTTTAAGTCTTCCTTAGTAAATTTGGAACAAGGTCCCTTCCTAAACCAAACACAGCCTTTGGGAATGGGATTGCTATCATGGGCTTAAATGGTACCCTGGAGATGGGGACAGAGGATCAGCTTCCCATGAAGCAAGATGGCTCTGTGAAGAACAGTAAATTCCGGATCAAAATCACACTGCTATTAGGAAGTAGGTAGGCGAGTGAATACTGGATTGGCAATGAATAGTGTCTGCTCTGCTTAATTTTTCTAGGCATCTATGCAATTTTCAGGTCTTTTCATCCTCAGCCAGAGCAAGGCAGGCTGTTTCTACACACTCAGAAGAGTTTATAACTTGCTTTTCAAATTCTTTCATTTGCTTGCTAGGAAACATCTGGATCACAGCTGTCACCTTTCAGAACTTTTCCCCTTGTGTCTTTTCTCACTTGGTATAATATACACCTTTATTCTTCCTTCTTCTTTGCCTTAAGACAGCTTTAGTCCTTCATTTTTCATTGCTGTTAGAATTGTTTTGCTTGACCTGGCAAGGAAAGTCTATGTTGTGCCCCTTTTCATTATAGGTAACCTCTCAAGCTCCCCACTCCAGACTCAGACTATTTTGCTCACCTCTCAGTATATGCAACCACCAACTTATCACTCCATAATGACTTATCCCATTTTAGGCTTGAAGCTTGTGGAAGAACTTCTCACTTTGATACCTCACCCTGTATAAGCTTACAGTTCATGTTGCATAGAGTATTTGTTTCTTTCTTTCTTTCCTTGGCTTCTTGATCATTACAAAGAAATTATAAAGAGATGACAAACTAACAACCATATGGAAGTAACCAAGGAAACTTGATAAGTTTCTGTAGAATCATAATGTCTACTCCATGATCTCTGAATCTCTCTAGAAATGGTCACTTGATGCCCGGAGTGAGTGGCACACAAAATTCTTCCTTCTAATCCTGCCTTTGGATACACGAACCCCTTCTCCAGAAGAGCCACAAACAAGGCTCTCCATTCTTGGCCTACTGAATTAACCAAGGCAAAAGATCTATGTCCTAACTCTGAAACAGACTCTAATCATGATGGATCAGGACCTAGACTTGCAGAACTATTGCTCAGGCCAGCTGAGAGCTTTGATCTGAGGCAGTGGAGATCATCAAGAACCTGAGCTATCCTTGGTAGAAGAAAGTGAGATGAAAATTAAGGACAGCAAAGCATCAGCCCCAAATCAAGAGTGACAATGAATGAGAATCAATAGTGGCATCATGATTCCAAGGGTTTAGAGCCAGGAGAGATAGGGACAGGGTGAGGATAGAGACAAGTGAAGCAATAAGCCCAGTAATAGGCTACAGTTCACCCTTTTCTACCCAAAGAGACCACCATGATATATTACCCATGCTGTAGCTGTTGGGAATATAAAGATGGCTGCAAAAAGGAGAGGACATATTCAAAGAGTAGGGATTCAAGACCAACAATAGCTTCTCTGCACCTTTATAAGAGGTGCTAAATGATTTCCATCTGAATCCATGAAACTGGAAACATTAATAGATTGCCAAGAGGCTAACAATGAGGCAATCTGTGAATGAAAATAAAACTCATATCTTCTATTCTAACTCAAGTACAGTCAATTCTAGCTACCTTCTCCATATTGTTAAAGACCAAAAAAATGCATTGAATACACATTGTTTTCTAGATTGTTACAATGAGCTTGATTTAAAGTGATTTCACATTTTCCTAAATATACAGTAACTAACTAAGCAGAAAGAGAACGGACTAAGCATGTGAAAGATGATAAGATGACCAACTTGACAATAAACTATTTGTAAAAAAAAAAAAAAGAAGAAAGATAATAAGATGATGAAATTACCTGTAGCTAGCTCTCAAGCAAATACCTAGGAGCTGATTGCAGAATTCTGAGGGTTGCTATTATAAGTCACTTCATAGTAAACTGTTCTTCACTCAACAAAGGTCTAGGGATCTGTAGAATTAGAGGAAGATACAGAGGCAATATTTAAAGTTAATTTTAAAGATTAAAACAGAAAACAGAATAAAGCTCACAGTTATTTCCCCAAGTAGGAAGAGCTATTTATTCACAGACTTTTATTCTGTCATTCTTCAACAATTAATCACCAAGGTCTAGACATCTAGAATACACTCAAGAGCTCACAGTGTAATGGGGAAGGCATATGGGAAACAGCCCATTATAATACAATGTGATACGATAAGAAAGTACAGATTGTTAAGGCAACAACACAAAATGAGTTCCTTAACCCAGATTTTATATAGGTGGGGGGAGGGGAAACTCAGAAAATGTTTCCTCTAAGAATGTCCTTTTAAAGTGAAAGGCTGTGAACCTGAAGGCTTCAAACCAAGTGAACTGGAGGTTAACAAAGTTCCAGGCTCTGTGGTGAGAAATGGGAGTACTCAAGGAATAATAATAATGATGGTGATAATTACTATTATTATTTACAGCATGTTTACTTTATGCCAAGTCTTATTCTAGTTTCTTTACATTATTGATCTCATTTAATCTTTACAATACACCCATGAGGTAGGTATACTATTAATATCCCTATTTTATAGATGTGGCAACTAAAACTCAGAGAAATCAGTTGCCTAAGTAGATAGCAGAACTCATGCTCTTAAGCTCTTAATAGATCCTCCAACTAGAAGAATGGAAAGAAGTTCAGTGTGACTGGAGACAAGAGGATGCATTTAAAGGCTATTTTTATAAGAAGCCTTGTGAGCTATTGTGAATGACCTGGTGACTGTCTGGCCATGGAGTAGTGTGGGGTGAGAGCAGAGAGTATACACAGAGCAATTCACTGAGTGATTAGTAAAGTCATGGATGTGAATGATGTGTGGCATTAGATTCATAAAAGGAGTCATTATAATGATATATTAAAGAATTTTCACTATAATCTCTAAAATAACCATTTTCTACATTTTTTAAGCATCCAGGGTAAATTGCTTAAAGACTCTGTATGACATCAAATATGTATAGTAAACAACTCCTCTTTGCTGATAGTATTGTGGACTGAACTGGCCCTCTATCACTCAGTATTGTACCCCAGGAATCTGGGACAGAGTAACAGGAATAAGGAAGGTCTTCTAGCTTAGTTCCCCTGGGCTGGGCTTTTCTGAGGGGGTCATAGCAATGGGAGTGGTTTAGAGACATTACTGAACCTAAAAAGGTAATATGTGTCCACTGAAAAGAATTGTAGTCACTTTCAAATATTGTTTACCACATACCTCCCAGTTAAACAATACATTTTGACTAAAGAGCCCATTGCATTACTGAGAACTGAGCACAATGACAAATATTTTTGACCCGATGGACATGAGAAAACAATGAGCCTCATTTTAATGAATCATCCCAGAGAGAAAGCATGTAAGAATTCAAGCTGGGAATAGATGCCAAGATCCATGAGTGTTTGGTCCAGAAATCTCTAGGGTGGGCACAGGCTGTACTCAGCTCCAAGTTTACAGCCATGAATAGAGATTCCTTCAGCTCAAACCAAACACTGGGTTCTCAGGAAATAGCCATTTACAGAAAGTATCTGACCATTTTACAAGATTAATAGGCAGATTGGATAAGCCATAGTGAAGCCAGTGTAACTCAACAAACACTTAAAGGCACTTACTGTATGTTAAGCACCATTATAACTCAAGTGCAATCTCTCTCCCTGTGATCCCAGTTATATGGAGGATGGACATGTATATAAAACATAAAAATGCCCTCTTTCTGAGTTATGCTTTAACAGAGGTGAAATAAGAAAATAGAAGGAAGGAGAGATCAACTTTAAACAGAAGATATGGGAGAGGTGAAAACACTGGTAAAGTTTCCACAGAGGAGAAGGTATTTGATCTGAGTCTTATACATAGCAAAAAACCTCCAGGTAGTTAGAGAAGATATTTAAGGAATGATTAGCTCAGTCTAGGAGTCTAGAGATAACAGCAAATATTTTACATATTATGTGTTTCCCCTACTTCCCACCCAACCTCCAGTATTAAAACAAAGGCTCTCCCAACCCATCTCACTTTCTAAACAAGCACCCTTTAAAAGAAGGGAAGCATCTTAAGCCATGGCCCAGCCTAAGGGCAAGAATAGCTTTACTCAGCACGTATCCTGGAACCTCACACACCACTCAGAGCCCCAGAAAAAGACATCTATTCAAAGGGAGGGCTCAAGGAGGTGTTGAAATGCATCTTTTTTTTTTTTACATTTACAGTATTGTATGTATGTATGTATGTATGTATGTATTTTTCTTTCATAGTTTATTGTCAAGTTGGTTTCCATATAACATCCAATGCTCATCCCCACAAGTGCCCTCCTCCATGCCGATCATCCCCCTTCCCCTCTCCCTCAACCCTGCAGCCTCAGTTTGTTCTCAGCATTCAAGAGCCTCTAATGGTTTGTCTCCCTCCCTCTCCCCAACTATTTTTCCCCTTCCACTTTCCCATGGTCCTCTCTTAAATTTCTCCTGATACATTGAT